AGTATATAAATCATAACTATATCATTATTATTATTATGCATCTTTTTGCATTATTATTGTACAATTTTGTGCAAGTAAATTTGTTTACATAAAAGTGTACAATAATGAATCTGTAAAGTAAATAAATTTTCCCACCCGAAATTATCCCCCAATCCTATCTATCACATTCTTACACTTATCCGTCGCATAAAAATGTGCAATAATAAATCTGAAAAGTAAATCAATTGTTCTACTCATCGAATTATATACTCGTATAATTGTATATATCCCCCAATCTGACCTACCCGTATAGTCACTTATTCATTTTCCTATCGTACTTTCTTAAATTTCCTACCGATATTATATTACTAATAAAATTTCCTTTTCCTGTTGAAAATTACAGCTCCATATCCCTGTTCATCTGCTTTTTACCCTATTTTTATCTAAGTGTATGATTTCCTACCTGACCGTATATTTAATATATTATACTTTTAGTTACGACCGCGAATACCTGAAATTTTAGAAGATTGAGTTTGGTTTTAAATCGCGACCGTTTGGGAGTTTTTATCGGGAATTTAATTTACGCGGAATATAGAGGATTTAACTCGAGACGGCACCTTTCCGTCTTTAATTACGTGCAATCGCACGTATAAACATTCAAGAATGCCTTCTAGGCAAACCTTTTACTTCGATTATGTGTACTTCGTTATATGTACACCAACCTTGTGGGATACACTTCGCTGTCTTTATTCTGGCCAGCCAAACTCACGCTGGCCAATACTCTGGCTTTTACATAGCCAGAAATCGACAGCAAGGAGATATACTCCTTCTGCTGCCAGCTGATCACAGCCAGCTATAAGCGTAAGATTCTACGCTTTTGTACGATGCGCGAAACACGAACGCGTCGCGAAGGGGCCATCAAATTAATTTAATCAATTACGTAAAGAATTAACTATGACCAATAATAATAATTTTATATCATGAATTTACTCTTTACACGCGTTTATTGGCAATTAAAATAAGTGTCCAATAATTAAAATATTTAACCGATTAGAAAAAAATTCTCTATATCAACAGCGTTTTGATTTGAAAGTATCGCGATTCTGAACTTTACACGAAACTTTTAAACTTGATAAAGTAAAAATAATGAAATTTTAATGCGGAAATTAATAAAAATTGCTAGACGCGTCATTTGATTGAATCTAAGGGACATTTTACGTATTTTTATCGATTCGAACGATTCGTTACTGAATTTCATCTCAAAAGCATACAGAGATGAAAAATTCAGATGACTGACGTAAGATCCGAAAGGGATAATATAAATTTTAAGATCATTTTTAGATAAAACAAGACTTTTCTTTCATAAAAAAATGTGTATTGGATCTTACGTCATATAACTGGTACAATCCAGTTATCAACCACTACATATAAGTTATAACAGTTTAGGTTAAAGTTAGTGCGTTAAAGTAGGCAATAATGATTCAGTAACTATCAGTATCTTTTATAAAAATAAATTAATAATTTGTATGAAATATATTATGCTAAAATATTTGCTGTAATTTAATTATTACAAACGTATATGTATAAGTAAATTAACAATACTATTTAAAAAGGAATATTTATATATTCCATTTCTGCACTAACTTATATAAAATTTAATCCTGGACAAAAGATTATAGTAAAATGGAGAGTAAAATGATAGGAGTAATAACAAATAACAATATACAAACTTTTTATACTTATTCCCTGTGGATCAAACATATTATATGCATGAATACCATGAGTAAACTTAAGTAACAGCAGTAACTTTAAAAGTCTATATCTCAATTGTTATAATTTTCTTCCTTCGTCACTATATTTGCGAAGAATAACGTAATGTACACATGTACTGAATAAAATAAACTTTGATTGACTAAATCACATTGTTAATTAAAATAATTAATAAATATAACTTATTCTCATGGTATTCTAAATTTTTCCTTTGTACGTAGTGTGTACAAGAGTACGTTCTCGTATACACACTAAGTTAGGCAACAAAAGATATATAATTAAGATCCAGGATTAAATTTCTCCTAATCTGTTTTAACTTATTAATTTTAAGGTAACGGATGCACGAAATGCTTTATATTTCTATTTGCTATCTTTACATTATTAACAAATACATATATGCATCATTAGTATGTATATTCAATAAATCTACAACAGATCCGTTACCTCAATAATAAAAATTAATTCATCACTCACCAACACTGACGCGCAACAGCGGAGTTATGACTGCAACGTCGCTACGATGATTCTGTAATGCACAAACAAACATAAAATTAATATGCAAATAATGTTAAAAAAGCAAAGTTTCAAAATATATTTCTTACGCGTAATGAACCTTCTAGTCAATAAAATATTTATACTCAAATAATTAAACGTCTTTCGAAAAAATTCACGGGAACGAACTTTAATAAAATCTCGAATTACTTCTTTCTCTCTAATTATTAAGTTATGCAATATGACTCGAAAAAAAAACGGCGAAAAAGGTCGCGTTTGCGCAAAACGAAGGATAAGTACCGCAAGGTTGCTCCGCCGATGCATGATGCCCTTGCTCAGGCCTCCTCCTCCACTCCGGCTGTTCTATCGGATGACCGGCTGCGCTGGTTTCCTTCGAAGCTCAACACTAGCACTCACTCGCGCACTCGGTCCTCGTCCTCCTGTAACAAAGAATCGAAAATAAATTATCAATCGACGTAGAACGCGACGAGTCACAAGATATTTATACTTCAATAATTAAACATGTTTCGAACAATCGCGGGAACGAACTTTAATAAATTTTCAAGTTACTTCTTTCTAACTGTTAAGTTATGGTGCAATGTAACGACTCGAAAATAAGTGGCTAAAAAGGTCGCTTTTGTGCAAAATGAAAGTTACCGTAAGTTCCTCCGACGGTGCCCGATGCCCTTGCCGGGGCCTCCTCCTCCTCTCAGACTGTCCTCTCGGATGGTCGGCTGCGTCGGTTTCCGTCGAAGCGACACTAACACTAACGCTGACACTCACTCGCGCACTCGGTCCTCTTCCTCCTTTCGCGAACAATCGGAGATAAATTGTCAATCGACACGGAACGCGACGACGCACGAGAAACACGGCCATATTCAAGTCCAGACACGGCGCAGCGAGCAACCGGCCGCGAATGGCGCAACGAAACACTTCGCAATTCCAGTATATTTTCGTCTCGACGGCTCCGCCTCGAGTGAATCGCGCGACACATCCACTCTTCGTCCTTTTTCTCGCAATCCATCATTGTCTCTCGATCCGTAACTGACACAGCCACTACGCATTCGTTCCAACAAACTTGATACACTCGCGAATCGTTGCGCGCGTAACCGACGATTCCCGCGGAAAGAGGAACATTGGTGCCAACCACACGCGGAAAATGTCACGGCGCGGTGAGTAACTCGCGGACGCTTCCTGTCCGCACGAGAATCTTCGGGTGAATTAACCGGCCGCCGGCACCGAGTCACTTCGTCGCACAGGTACGTCGAACGCCGAACGAAAAAGGAATCCACAGTATCACTTGATAACCGGCGCGGAAGCTGTAACGGACGTTGTTTCCGAGTCTTGAGAATCCATTAGATTTGCTCGCCGTGCTCGCTCGGTCACACCGTCTGCACCGAGAGACGTCGACTGCGATTGGCCGATGCGCGGGGAGGGTGTCCCGCGGAGAGAATGGCACTCGGCGGCTCGCACGAATACGTCTTATCGACTAGAGATCCTTCGAGCGAGTGACTCCCGCGTCATCTCGGCACGTACGTTGAAATGCCGAACGAAACACAATAGACGATCGCGTGCCAGCCGACGCGGAAGGTATTAAACGTCGTTTCCGATTCTCGAGAATGCGCTGGAAGCGCGCGTTCAGTTGCGCCGCCGGTCGACAAACTTCTAGAACGATTGGCCGATTCGAAGGGAAGCTTTGTCCGGAGAGAATGGCGTTCGGCGGCTCGAAACACGTCCTGTCAACTCGAGATCCCGCGGGCGACTGACTTCTGACTCACCTCGGTACGTACGTTGAAACGCCGAAAAAACAATTGAGAATCACGCGTTAACTGAAGCGGAAGGTAATAAAAACGTTATTTACGCTACTCAGTGTACGGTTAAGGGCACGCGACGGTGCGGCGGCTCGAGCCGCCGCCGGCCGTTAACCGGCGAGCGCGACTGGCTGGATCCGGGGGGCTCGCCGTGGCGCGCGGCCAATCGCGCGCCGCGGCTCGTCGTGCGGCGGTCGGCGGCTCGACCGCGCGTAGCGCGCACTGTTTCGTCGCGCGCGCGGATTTCTTTCTCGCGCGTGAAAAGAAGTTTGATTATTTGAAACATAGTTGTCCACTCATAAAAATATATGAAGTGTCTTCATCACATACTGTCGATTCAACAGTGACGAAAACGCGATTGAAAGCGAATTGTCATAATATAATGACCGAGATACTTTATTAAACACCGTAGAAATAAAACAATGTATTACGACACTCTCTCGTTACATTTAAATTTCTCGAGTGATTCAAACGTCGACAATATTCCTGTCAAGTCCGCGCGGATACGAGATGAATCGATTCAGTAACCAATTGAACCAAGGAAACTATTTAAAAATGCACTTGAAATATGCTCGCTGTATAATTGAGGCGCGCAAATTTCGCGAGATACACAAATTACATGGTTCACGCATCACTGTTTTCCGTTACTTAAATCACTTGATTCGCGCACTTCCGCATCGCAACACACGCAACCCTCACGAAAGTGATAAGGGTGAGAAGAGTCAAACGGCATTTTACATGACACTTCCGATGTTAATTATTCCCGAGACTTTATTGTATTTCAATGGAACGGTCAATTCTTCCTCTTCTTTGTCTTATTCCCCAGATGGCACAAGACACTCCTATGAAGATTTTAAGAATATTCTTCAAGAATATTTGAAATATTCCATAGGTCTTTCTTATACGGGTGGTTTGATAAATAACTTGGTTTGATATTAAAAAGAACGATTTGAATTTTGCAACAAACTTTATTTTTCAACATAGCACCCTCGAAGTTCAACGCACTTGTGACCATAGAATATGCATCCTTAAGAAGGAAACTTTATGACCGCATATACGAATGTCGCTCTCGCTCTCTATTAGTATGCAAACCAAGTGTCACTTATCCAACCACCCTCGTAATAGCTGAAAGATGCACTACAAGTATGATAAAAATGTAAAAACGTGAAACAACATTTCAGCTATTAAGTGCAAAGAAAGAGAGCCGCTTTAAATAGACTCTATTCACATCTTTATTATACTGACATGTTTTTTAGTATATTATACATAATTAAATTTCTTACTGTGATGTAGGCACAAAGTAGAAGACATACATAAGAATCAAGCGATCGATGATATGTAATGAGAAATTCTCTTTGAGGTTTAAGCACAAGGTGTACTGATTTTGTACACGAGACTACATTCGTGTCGCGTTTTGTTCCCGGTTCAAATTTATAAATATATAAAGCTACATCTTTTATATCTTTTTATGTGTACACGTGCGTTCGCTCGCTTAAAGCTATAGTAATCTAGCGTTTGTACATCTCTAGCATGTTACGTCTAATCTAATTGTATTATATTTACGTTATAGGCAGTAAATTGAGAGAACACTTGTTTCTTGACGACGCACAGAGAATTATTGACTTTGAATTTCTAACTATTGATTTTGAACGCACGGCGATTGATTGACGCCGATGGGCGTATTATTTCGATTTATTATTGACTGTCGAAAAGGGTAAAGCATCGAATCCTAGGGTTTCATCATCCAATCTTATATTCGAAAGAGCGGATTAAGTACGATCTCGAGACGTCGTGTACGATCATTACATTAGCTGGATAGAATCTTAAGACCGCCCGTGACCAGATTTCAGACTTGGAATATAAGATCGGACTATGAATGGCGCTCCTAGATCTCGATTGGAGTACAGTGGCAGTGTGGAAATAACGAAGACATCGTAAGACAGCAGCTGTAAAGAATCGCTCGTAAATTAATATATTATTATCTGGCAGTTAAATAATGCAATTTGCACACAAAGTGAACACAAAAGGCGCTCCACTATCTTCAATCGTCGTTCTATTAAAGAAAAATTTAACGGAACTGTCCGAGAGAAGAGGACGTTCTCCGTTACCGATCTCCGGCTTTTACGTGCCATCTTGTATTCGCGTCCCTCTCTTACATACGTTGGTGCTTTTAATACTTTGCCGTAGCTCGAGATAATTACGCAAAATTGACTAAGAGAAAGCGTTACGCAGTGTCGGGCAGTGATCTTTTCTCACGCAATTCGATTATTCTGGATCCTTTCTCCGACGATCTTACTCCGTGACTATGAGACGGATCGTGAACGTTAGCGGCTTCTCCCATTCCGCCGTCGTTGCCGTCGCGTTGCTGGGACGGCCGTGGATAACTAAACGAAACTTGCCGGGATTTTTCAGCCGGTGCCGGAAGTGCAGAGCGGAAACGCCGTGTTCCCTGACGATCTCGAAGTGTCCACCGTTGTTGCCCCGCGCGATAGTATAATCCACATTCTCGTCCTGCGAAGCGATAATCACCGATCTTTATTTTTTTTTCATCGAAGAGCTCGCGATTGCAGTTATATCAAATCAGCTTTGAAGTCTCGAGCCGGATCTCTGTTAACGTGAAATTTATTCCAAATCGATCGAAATTACGCGAGAATCACCTCGATGGCGGATTGCAGCTTGATAATCCGCGTACGATGTCTCGTCTGACGCAGATTGATCTTGAGTACGCGGTTCGTCCCGTGATGATGCCTCTTTGGCCTAGTAGTTTGACGTTTCTTCTTTATCTCTCCTCTCCTCGTCCTGATTTCTCCGTTCACCAATCTGTTCCTCGCGCCCCTTCTGTACCGCTCTTTTCCGTTTATCTATTGACATGAAAATCCGTGATGTTACATTGTCGCAAGAAAGAAGGAAGCAAACGCTATACCTTGCACGAGAAACAGCCCTCCGTGGAAATTGTCTTATCGCCAGCCGGCGGTATATGATAAGGATCGGGATTGATTTGGAAAGTCGGCACGTTGCCAATGTCCTCGTCGTAACGTCCCTGATGCGACGGATTAATGGTAGATAGGCAGTGACCCTGCGGCGAATTTTTCGAGAAATCAATAATTTCGCACTTTGTCAGATATTTTTCAAATACGTTTAAAACAACTCGGAAGTTTTCGTGAGTCGAGAACGGACCTGTCCTATTCGCTGATAACCAGTCGGGCAACCGCAAATGAATCCATTAGCTCCATTAGGGATGCATCCAAAGGCGCACGGACTTCCAAGACAGCCTGCACTCACCTTTGGAAAGTGAGGTACAATGTGAAAAATGTCTTTTGTGATTGCGTTGTATGGAAAGTACATAAGTGTATAAACAATTTATGTACCTGCACGCAAATAGCTAGATTGTTGTCGAACTGGTATCCGTCGGGACAGCCGCATTTATAACTGCCAATGGTATTAATACATGTGTTGTCTCCGCAGGGTGATGAATTACATTCGTTCTCGTCCATGCACTGATTGTGGTAAATGTGTTGAACAAAACCGTCCGGGCATCCACAACGATAAGTCCCCATGAGATTCTAAAAATTTCCGGTTGTATAAGTAACAGCCGTGAATCTGTTTGCATCTGATTAAATAACGAAGGCAGACGAGTAATGGTCACCTGACAACCGTGTTCGCAGTTGGTGTCGTCAGCGCATTCATTGTGGTCCGTGCAGAATCGTCCAGTATGGTCTAATTTGAAACCTCTCGGGCAAATGCACTGGAAACTGCCTAAGGTATTAATACATTTGCCGGGTTTCGGGCAAACGCCTGGCTGATCGCATTCATTTATATCTGGAAGATAATTACATTATAAGAAACGCGCGCAAAAATATTAAATATTATTCGGAAAAATACTTTGTCGCGAATAGCACAGTGAGAAGTAAAGAATTAAGAGAGACGTAACCATGGCACGCATCTCCTTGTTGAGTGTAGCCTTCTTGACAATCGCAAGTGTAGCTTCCCGGTGTGTTTATGCAGTTTTGCTGACACAGGTGATTTCCGGTTGCGCATTCATCCAGATCCCTGCAGCTGATACCGTCGGGATTCAGAATGAAGCCCGACGGGCACGAACAGATGAAGCTACCCTCGGTGTTTTGGCAATTATACTTGCACGGTTTCGGCGTTAATTCGCACTCGTTAATATCTGCAATTCCAATTCGTTACGCGTCGTCACAAGCGCAATTTATTTATCAAGCTTAAACGGCTAGAGAGAAAACTCACCGATACATCGTATGCCGGATTTATCGGCCTTGTAGCCTTTATTGCAGATGCATCTGTACGAGCCGAGCGTGTTGATGCAAAGGCCATTCCTGCAGAGATCGGGTATGGTTTTGCACTCGTCGATATCTGAAAATTAACGTCGATTCTCGGAGCGAAACACCAACAGACTTCCGTCTCAATACAAGAAGAATGGTGAAGGTGTCAGAAAAGATAACGAATCGATGAGGGAAGGCCAATGTGAGCCGACAAACGCGGAACACAGTGCGTGGGTTAAACGTAGAAAATATATTCTTTTTATTCAATTCAAACGTTTCGACCCATGTTTCATTAATGTATTAATGTTTCTTAACATAATTTTTTTTAAAGAAATTTTATTGCAACTTTTGAATTCTACTTGTTGTCTTAGATCACTGAAGAAGACCCGAACATGGGTCGAGACGGTTTGAATTGAATAAAAGGAATACATTTTCTACGTTTAAACCACTCACTGTGTTCCGCGTTTATTGGCTCACATCTGTCTCAATAATGGTCGATTGAATTACAGACACAGACAAGACAAGGGACAGGTAATGTAATTGCGTACCTTGCCCGTCCACGGAGAATCCTTTGTCCAGACAGAGCTCGTTATAATTGTCGGAGTCTCTGGATGGACAGATCTCGCAATGCGGCCCCCAAGCCGCTCCCATGGTGCAGCAACAGTCCGCCTTCGTAACCGTGCGCAGTTCCGAGGTTCTGGCGGTGCACCTGCCGCCGATCGTTTGCAGGAAGCAATAGCCGACCCTTCGGTCTGGTCATATGGAAGTACGAGCATATTTCTGTCTTCAGCATTTCGACCGCGATATCTAGTATTTCTATTTATTATCTAACATCGCATCTGTTTTTTTGCGCTTCATACCGATACACGACTTTCCGTCCGCGCTTTGCTCGAAACCGTCGTAGCAGAGGCACTGGTAACTCCCTTCCAAGTTAACGCAGCGGCCGTGCTGGCAGAGGCCGGAGTTAATGGCGCACTCGTTGATATCCTTGCACTCGTCTGCCATCCCTATCTTCTGGTAGCCAGGCGGACAGATGCACATGAAGGTGCCGATCAAATTCTTGCACTGGAATCTACAGTCGTTCGCCGGCGTTGCGCATTCGTCGACGTCTAGAAGTGGGAATTTATCTTAATCTTCTTCTTCGTAATGTTGGGGGGGAGAACTGTACTGCTTAATTTAGATATGTTGGTATCAGGAGCAAAGATAAATATTTCAGAAAGAGTTGCTAATTGAAGAGAGTTTCTTTCTATTTGTCTCGTCTGATCCAATTTTGTGAGCTAAGGAATTGAATCCGCGACCCACCAATAAGTCTATCGCTCTCACACGAAGTTATGCGACACCCTAATTTATATTATTCTAATATTGCATTTCGTAGAGCAAAACAAGCCGTTAACAAAGCGAAAATGTAATCGATTTTAATTTTCAAGTTAATTTAGATTCTCAATTTACGCTATCGAGAATTTAAACTAAATTAAAAATCGCCCTACGACATGTAAAAGAATTTAATGGAATGTTAAGAGATTAACGGCGGTTTCTAATTACCTACGCAATGACGGCCGTCAGGTGCGAGAGTGTACCCATACGGGCAAATACATCGGAAGGAACCCGGCGCGTTGTGGCACCGGAATGCGCACTGATTGCCCAGCTCCAGGCACTCGTTCACATCTTCGCACACCTGATGAGCTCCGGGCGCGTATCCCTCGTTGCAAGAGCACTCGAAACCGCCGTCGATGTTGCGGCAAGTGCCGTTACCGCAGATATTCTGCACGGTCAGGCACTCGTTGTTATCCACACATCTCCTCCCGGTCTCGTCCAGCATGTACCCGGTCGGGCACTCGCACCGGAACGAGCCATCCGTGTTGATACACTCGCCACCGTGACAGGCATCCGGCATAAACAGGCATTCGTTCAGATCGATCCCAGTGTCATCCCGCCCCGGCCCCTCTGGGCACATCTTCTTGAACTCCTCTGGATGAATGTAATTGTCCATGATTCTCTTATTTTCTGAATTACGTAATTATAACGCAAAACCTTTCTAATTAAGATGCTAATTAATTGCTAGTTAACGGTAGTAGCTCTTTCTTTGATATCTTTTAGATTACTCCTGATACCGAAAATTCTTCCATTTTATGCCACAAACTTTCTTTACAATAAACGAACCTTTTAATTAATTACTCTAATTTTTTCTTGAACTTTTAGGGAACATTGACATCCTCTTGAACTGAATGAATATAATTGTCCATAATTCTCTTATCTTTCAGAAAATTATTAATTAATAGTTTTTCTTAAATTAAAAATGCGACAATTCGAAAGCTAAAGTTAATTTCTGTCACTTAACAGTCAACCAGATCGAAAGATCCTGCTAAAAGAAGCATACAGTACTTCTCTGTTCGTAATCGCACTTTTCAGGACGAACCTTAAGAACACTTTAATAAAGTAATGACCTTACGAAGGAAACTGAAAAGCACAATTAACTTTCGGAAAAATATCTTTTACCGCTATTTTCGAGCGGACATTGCTCGCAGTAGCGGCCCCAAGCTTTGCCCATCGTGCAGCAACAGTGTTTCTTGGTCATTCCGCCTTCCCGCGGTAAAGTGCACTGGCCCCGCCTGTAATTGTCGTAGCACTGTTCCTCCCTCACGTCGATGCATCTCATCGAGTTCGGTCTTTCGCTCAACCGATATCCGACCGGGCACTCGCAAATCACTCCGCCCTCCGTGTTTATGCACCGTCCGTTCTCGCAAATGCCCCTTGTCTCCACGCACTCGTCTACGTCTGCACGTATGTAAGTGTCGTTTAGAAAGTATTCAAATATATGACGAATAATCGTAGTGTGATTTCAACTTTTACGGACCAACGCACTTCCTTCTGGAATGATCCAGTTCGTAGCCTAGTGGACAGGTACATACGTAAGATCCCATTAAATTCTGACATTTCCCCGGAGATGGACACAATCCTGGTATCTGCAAGATATCAACTAGCAGCATTAATACGTACCGATTAGTTGTAAATCGGTGGCCTATTTAAATTAGGTTTGTTAACATATGTACGAATATTAAACCTATCGACTATCTCCTTTGGATATTTTTGAGGAATACTTTTTGTCAGGATTTGTACGACGCACCTCGTGACACTCGTCGATATCGCGACAATGCTGGCCGTCTTGCGCCAACACGTAACCGTCCGCGCACTCGCAGACAAAGCCGCCGATCGTGTTCCGGCATCGGCCATTTCGGCACAAAAACGGCATGATCCGACATTCATTAATATCTAGAACCAATTTGTGAAAAATAAGAACGAGATGCACATGTGAGCATTTTACCAACTGAAGAACGGCAAAGTATTTCCAAGTTATTGACTCACCCGCACAGTCGTTGTTTGGACTGAGCTTGAACCCTTGGTAGCACTGGCACTTGTAAGAACTCAAGGTGTTGATGCAAGTGCCGTTATTGCATATATTCGGGTTGCGCTGGCACTCGTCGACGTCGACGCAATTGTCTCGGTCGCGAGTCAACGAGAATCCGGAATGACAGATGCACTGGAAGCCGCCTTGTAGATTGCTGCACGCCCCGTTACTGCAGATGCCCGCTCGCTCGTAGCACTCATCGATGTCGACGCAATCGTGCTGACTAGGCCCGAGTTTGTAGCCAGCCGGACACACGCACTCGAAATAGCCCTGCTGGTTAATGCACTGCGCGTTTCCGCTGCAAGGATTCGGTATCTGAGAACAACGAAAATGACGCAAACGTTGATGAATCTCCGGTTTAACAAAAATGGCAGCTACTTCTACACGATATTGATTATCTTCTCGGACACCAAGCTGATCAACTCCGTTTTTGATAAATTTCTTAATTTTCGTGGCATATCATAGTACATATTTATAATTTTGTCGGTTTTCTCGTTTCATGGAATTTATCAGAGTTTATTATTTGGTTTCTATATAAAAGATTTATTACAATTCTACTATTTTTCTTCACGAATCAAGGGAAGGCAGGACCTTTCAGTCCAAATATCAAAAGTCGCACCTGTAGGCACTCGTTCTCGTCAATACACTGGTGTGAGTCTTGGTCATAAATGTAGCCGCGGTTGCACTGACACTCGAAACTGCCAGGCGTATTCATGCAGCGGCCGTGTGTGCACATAGTCGGCATCAGCGCGCACTCGTCGATCTCTTCCGAGTGATTTGTGATTGGATTCATGATCTGGCCCGGCACCAGTCCGCAGAGAATCTCGTGTTCGCCTGTAGATCGCGAATGATCACTCATTTCATTTCATCTATTTATATTTAGTAGAAGTTGTTTGACCATTTGGATACTTACGGGTTCTCTCGCCAGGACACTTCTCACAGAGACTGCCCCATGCGGCTCCCATGGAACAGCAGCATAGCATCTTCGTCTGCGGCTGTACCATAGGATTAAGGCACTGTCCAGAATCATAAGTGAGGTAGCAGGCCTCCTTTCTCATGTCGACGCATTCCTCTAAGGGGACGCACAATAGTTACATCTTACGATTCTTTTCATCAATTTCGATGCAAACTTTTAAGTTAGAATTCAAATCACAATCTTCGGTTAATATGTTATTCGAATTAGTTACGTTAAACAAATAAAATTCATGAGGCCCTGACGTGAAATCACGAAAATACCCTGACTGAGGTAAATTTTTCGCAAGAAATTAAAAAATTTAAATTATTTAGGCACTAACGTCCTGTCCTCGCTCTTACATCCTTCATTACTTCGTAGTTATGTTAAATGTAATGATGTTAAATTGAAGAAAATACAGTCGAATGGTCTCGTATATTGTTACTAACTTCCTCCAGGCATCGCCATGTACCCTTCAGGACACTCGCAATGGTATTTCCCTTGATCGTTGATGCAGTATCCTACGCCGCATATTCGCGGATGCAACGCGCACTCGTTTATGTCTACAAGAATTTTTTTTTAATTAAAACGTTTGCATTTAAAAAAGGGGACTATAAATTGAAGTATATAATTTTTCCAATGACACATCTGTTTCCATTACCGATGCAACTAGTCTTAGAATCGTCCAGGATGAAGCCTTCGTTGCAGGAGCACATGAAACTACCAAATGTGTTGGTGCAGTGCCCATTCTGACAGATATTCTCATGCTCCTCACATTCGTTGATGTCTTCCAGGATAACGGTTACGCGATTCGGCCTGTACCCTGGCCCGCTGGGGCATAGTTGCTCGTACTCTTCCGTACCGATCTGCGGGCACTCCTCGCAACGATTGCCCCACGCGGTGCCGATGCTGCAGCAACACGTTGCCTTCGTCACTGACGACGACACTTCGAAGATGCACTGGGGTCGTCCGGTACCGTGCTCGTAGCCGGTGAAGCAAAGCGATTCGCGTCTGTCTGCGTAACCAATGCGAAATTAGAAGAATGATAAGAATCGTGGGAACGCAGGGAGCGTGAGTTGGGAAACCTACCAACGCAGGCATTCCCGGCCTCCACCAGCTCGTGATGCGGTGGACACCTACAGATGTATTTGCCCTGCGTGTTGATGCAGGTGCCGTACTGGCAGGACTGCGGGCTCTCGCATTCGTCCACGTCGGTGCAGTTACCGCCCGAACCGTCGAGCTTGTAGCCCTCGTTGCACTCGCAGCGGAACATGCCGAAGATGTTCTCGCAGTGGCCAAAGACGCAGAGATTACTGAACATCTCGCACTCGTTGATGTCCACGCACGCCTGTTCGTTATGCTCATCCGGATGCATGAAGCCCATTTCGCACTCGCAGCGATAAGCGCCCGGGTAGTTCAGGCAATGCCCATTCTCGCAGAGCGTGCTGTCCTCCGTGCATTCGTCGATGTCCTTGCAGCTGTAGCCGTCGCCCCGAAAGCCAGCGTCGCACACGCACTACAAGGACAGTTTTAACGAAATGAATTAACACCAAAATGCAATAATAAATCGCCAAAACCATAAGATATATTGTGGAAATGTTCCCTCTCGTTCAATCCTGGAAAAGTGATCAGAAATCAGGAATCTTTTAGCGACACCAAGAATAAAATTCCAAGACACTGCAAACAATTCAAAACGACTCCATCGCACATTTTATTATATTAAAGATTGATAGTGAACATTTATTTCCTGCACCTGCGGGCAGATGCTGATTCACAATCATTATAACCAATCAGAATTCGATAAAGTCAATTCAATAGACACCTTAAAGGAACCCTCGGTGTTGATACAATGCGCATTGGAGTCGCAACCGCCATTGTTCGTGGAGCATTCGTTGATGTCCCAGCACTCGATCCCGTTCCCAGTGAATCCCTCGTGGCAAGTGCACACGTACGAACCCTGGGTGTTTTGGCATTCGGCGAACTCGCTGCAGGAATAAGCGTTTAGCCGGCACTCGTCGTCGTCGGTACACCCTGGACCCTCCGCCGGCTTCACCGAGTATCCCTCCTCGCAGCGACAGTTGAAGGAACCGATTGTGTTGTAACACTCACCGTATCCGCATATCCGCGGCTGCGTCACGCACTCGTCGACATCTGAGAAATAACGTTGTGTAAACACAGAGCAAGTGATTTCGATCGCAGAACAGTATTGAATAAAGAGTTTACCTATGCAGGATATACCATCCCTTTCGGGCAGCAAGCCGTTCGTGCAGTTGCATACGTAGCCGCCCGGTATATTCCGACATTTACCTCCGTTGCAGATTCGAGGGTTTTCCTTGCACTCGTCAACGTCCACGCAGCTTCGGCCGTCCAGGTTCAACGCGTAGCCGGTGCTGTCTCACGGATAATAAATTATTATAATCTCTTTAAGATTTCAACTAACTCAATTACGGATACATTAGACAAGCTAGATTACCCAGCGAGAAATAACTCGTCGATCGATGTCAACCGATTCGACATCAATTTGAAGGTGTCAATGTCTATTCGATATCGTTTCGACATCGATCGACGAATCATTTCTCACTGGGTAACTGATAATATCCAGATAATAATCTTTCATAGTCTTGCAAGTACTTCATAGACTGATTGACATTTAAAATTGTTCTCGCTCATTCAGGTTCCGCTGAATGGAGACCAAGTTAACGGAACATCATGCATACGTAAAGGAAATAACGACGGCAGGAGAATTTGTTGCTATCGAAAAATAATAATTAAACACTCGTAGATGACAATGCTGAGAGACTTTATCCGGGCATTGGGTAAAAAGATAACGATCCTTCACCGGCAGGAACAGGAGAAGCTGCCCGGCGTATTCAGGCAAATGTCTTCGCAGCCGCCGTTATCAGTCGTGCATTCGTTGATGTCCTCGCAATGAGATCTGAGGCCCGTCTGCTGATAGCCGTCGTCGCATACACATTGATAGGTGCCCATCATATTCTCGCAGACGCCATTCGAGCATATACCGCTGGTTCTCGAGCACTCGTCGATGTCCTTGCAGGACTGCTTGTCGGGTCCCAGCTCGTGTCCTGGAGGACACTGACATTTGAAGCTCCCCTCGTTGTTGACGCAGGTGCCGCCGCGACACAGTCCTGGCGTCTCTTCGCACTCGTTTATGTCTGGAATGTTTCGCGTGGCATCTCGAAATTATTTTCAAATTAAGAAATTTTTATATTAAATGTGTTAATTAATTAGATTTAAATAAACTGCGTATCGATTAAATAGACTGTCGACGGCCCGAATCGGCGTGCAGTTTAAAGTCGAAAAATAGCCGCGAAAATATCATCATTAGACTGTTTATTGCGACAAGTATTACCACATGCCTCAGTGGTCGAATCGCTGAGACGCCCGCCTACAGTGTAGGGGGAGGTCCAGGCTCAAACCCTGGCTGAGGTATGTATCTTTCGCAATAAATTTCTCTAATTAAAATATGCTAGTTGTGTCGTTTATTAATTTTCCTACATTGGTTAAATTATATATTTTGAATTGCATTTTTTTAAATACTATACCCATGCAAATTTTCATGATGTCACTACTGCGATAGCCAGAATTGCAGTCGCACTGGAAATTGCCGGGCGTGTTCCTGCAGGTGCCATTACCGCACACCCCACGCATGATCTCGCACTCGTCGATGTCTGAAACATTTTTATCGATTAACTGATTTGTCTGTTTTATAGAATGTTTCGCCGCTATTTTGACAGAAGACGTTGATTTCAAATTGATTAAAGAGCTTATCATTGAAAAAATATTGTGTACTTTAGAAACATCTTGTAACATCTTTATTAGATAAACAATCGTTAATACTTTTTAGAACAGTTTAAGCTGATGTGAGAATAAGTCCAGTGTGAGAATTGATTCTGTTGATATTTTACAGCTGAAAAGTCCGGAGAGAGAGAGATTATTTTGTGGGCTCCGATTTTCTCGATTCTTTAGCCCCAAGTTTCTCCAAAGAAACTGCTTACCGTTGCATTGGATACCGTGCTCGTCGAGCGCGAAGCCCTGATTGCATTTGCAACTGTAGCTGCCGATTGTGTTCTTGCATCTACCGTTCAGACACATGCCCGGGAACTCGACGCACTCGTTGATATCCTGACGCTCAGTGAAGCCGTCCCCGCGTGGACACATCTCGGCATGGGCCTGCGTGCCCAGTTTAGGACACAATTCGCACTTGTCGCTGCCCCAGGCGCGGCCCACGGAACAGCAGCAGAGGCTTTTGGAGAAATGGCCCTCTATAGGACTAGTGCATTGGCCATGACGATAGTCTAGGAAGCACATTTCTTGTCTGGTGTCGATGCAAGTGGTGTCTGCAATCAGGATATTGAGAAAAAACGTGAAAGATGTTTTAGAATAGGTCTACGACTAATTGAATAATTTCACCTGAAAATCTAGTGTTTCTTACAAAAGAAATATCTTTTATCATTTTTTAAATATAATTTATGAAGTTACAAATAGTTATATTTCTTTGTAATGTCTCTGCATTTGTTACACTCCTCTTTCTGATGCGAAGCAGATATGTGTATCTGTAATAATCTGACATTATCGGCTTACGTGTCACGTCTAAAGTGAGGCCAGGGGGACATTCGCAACGATACGAGCCGTCCGTATTAACGCAAGTGCCACCCCCTTTGCAGATCCCGCTGTTGAGCTCGCATTCGTTGATGTCCGCGCAGCCCTTGCCATCCACCTTCGCGTAGCCCTTGGAGCACTCGCAGAGGGAATGGTCGCAGACTTCGCAGGGGCTGCCCCAAGCCACCCCGACTGAGCAACAGCACTCCGAGCGCAGAGTCAATTTTGGCAGGTTGTACTCGCACCGGCCGTCTATCATTTTGGTCCAGCAGGAGCCCTTCCGATTGTCTGGAATCGAAGGACCAAAACTTCGTCTATATCTATATCTATTTTATTTATACTTACAGCGGGAGCCGTCTCCCCCCCATCGTTACTTGGAATCATCCCGTACCCATGCAAATGTGACCGGTGTTGTCGAGAATGTATCCCGGGGAACACTCGCACTCGTAGGCTCCCGGAGTGTTGATGCAAACGCCGTTGAAGCACACGTCCGGTCCTAACTCCTCGCACTCGTCCACGTCCTCGCACATTTGGTTTTGCGTGTTGTACCTCATGCCAGTCGGACAGATGCACTGCGAGCAAAATGACGCTGTCGATAATTCACGATATTTATACTCCAGACAAAATTAATTGCAAGTGCTAAATAATATCGAAACAAAATCTGGATATATAACAGAGAGTGAATTAGGTGATCAATAGAAAAAGCTTTTTGGAAACTAACAAGTGAATCTCACGTAAACGTTAGGCGCCGATTTTTCTCAAATTTTTGGCAGCTGTTACTCATATCAAGGTACGAAAACAACTCATTAGTTTTAGCTTAAATTGATTTTTCACTTTTTAAACAGTTGTTCCGAATTTATCAATTTCTTCTATCTTTTATTTTCTGAAGTTGATTAGTTCATTTTCTAAAAAGCTTAAATGACAAACGTTTCTCTCTTTCTTTTTCACTTGAAGAGAAAGAAATACATAACTACCTGGAAACTACCGGGTGTATTTCGACACTGTCCGCCGCTGCACAGGGAATCCTCCAGCTCGCATTCATTAATGTCGCTACATATCTTCCCCGTTGCATCCACTTCGTATCCATTGTCGCAGATACACCGATACGTTCCCATAAGATTCTCACATCCGCCATTGACGCAAATGTTGGGATTCTGGGCGCACTCGTTGATGTCTGTAATGGCAATCGTATAAAAATTATTTATCGAATTAAAAACTGGAAATTAGATTTGAAGTTTTATGATACTAAGGGGATACTGGAGTGATTGTGCACTTTTTGCACCTATAGTTATAGATTAGGTAACTTATAACTTATTCGAATGAATAGACTTTTTGTTAGACTTCTAAACTTAATTTCAATGATACCATGCTGTTCTCTGATTTAATCTGATTAGTGGAAACTAGACGGTCTGTACAGAAAAACCACCTAATTTTTATGTTACACAACCCAGCGAGAAATGACTCGGTGATCGATGTCAAAATGATGTCGAATCGATGTCGTTTCGATATCGATAGACAAATCATTTCTCATTAGGAATTTTTTTTCACGAATTGACAGTTCTAGGAGCAAAATGTGCAAAAAGTGCAGAATTATTCCAACATTCCCTTAACATTGAAAAAGAATTGTATGTCAGATAACTGCTACAATATTCGTGTTTTGTAAATATAAAAACTGATAGTTTTAAGAATATCGGATTTTCAAGCAAAAATCTATTACGATGTCTTACCGTCACCGTTATAAGTCATCCCGGCGCCGTGCGGACATAAGGCTTCGAATTCCGAGGTGCCCGGAAGCGGGCAAGGCTGGCACGTGCTACCCCAGCCCAGCGGCTGACCCAGGATCACCGTGCAGCAGCAACAACTGGACTTTGTCACGGCGGTGGACGTCGGGTTGGAGCATTGGCCGTCTCTGTACTGCGAATAGCACAGATCTCTTCTCGTATCTGATCAGCGCGAAGTCATCCGATAGAAATTTAATTTTTCATTAAACAATCAAATATTGAGTTATTTAATTAAATTAAGTTGTACAAGATCGAAGGAAACATTCTATAAATAACGTTGTAGCTTTCTTCTGTCATTTCTTGATAAATTGACGTTAATCTTGCTTTGAAGAACATTTAGCGCAAGACTTAATCGCAAAAGTATCTAAAATGCAATCGAGACAGAAATAAGATTTAAATTTTAATTTAATAAATGCTTCATTATTGGACACAATTTTTTACTCAAAGAGTATTTGATAGCTTATTTTGCTTATTTATTTTCTATTTTGTATATCATACTGAGAACAGACAATAATCTCATACGAACCTAAACAGGACCTTCCGTCAAGACCCAGATTGAATCCCGGATGACACTCACACCGAAAACTACCTGCCGTGTTGATGCAACGTCCATTTTGGCACGGTAAATTTACACATTCGTCGATATCTTGCAGAACAAATAACATTAAGCGATTATAAATCATGATTTGTATCCTTTTCGCGCGTTTAATTCTATCTTAACAGTCGAAGCAAATCAAACAATATCACTTGTCGTCGCTAAAAAATCCCTTGCAGGGTTCAAATATTTCAATTAAACTTCTCGAACGTTAGATCGTTGAAATATCGAAAATCCAGATTAACTGTAAAAATCTAGGGCCTTATTTTCGCGATTGTGTCGAAGTTGTCAGTCGCTTAATGAGATCAATACCGATGCAGTGGCTTAGGTCGGGACCGATCCTGAAGCCGGAGTCGCACACGCACTTGAAGGAGCCCTCCATGTTGACGCACTTGCCATTCTCGCACATTCCACTGGTAGAGCATTCGTCCATGTCCACGCAGAACGTATTGTCCCTCGAAGGAGTAAAGCCTGATTGACAGATACAATGATAGGACCCTGGCGTGTTCTCGCAGCGGCCGTTCAGGCAGATCCTCGGATTTTCTACACACTCGTTAATGTCTGAAACAAATAGAAAGCTCGGTCGAATGATGGCGCAACTGTTCCTAGACTCTTGCGAAATATCTTATACGCGTGTAATATATTTATAACTTCACGTTCCTTACCTATGCAGGTATTTCTCGTCGGCGATAGCGTGTAACCATCGTTGCATTTGCATTTGAAGGATCCGTTCATGTTGATGCAATGTCCGTTGGTGCACATGCCTGTATCTTGACATTCGTCGTGGTCTGAAAAGATATTTTTCCGCGTCAAGCCTCGTACATAGAGGAAAGTCCTCTTAGAGGAAGGCCCTCTATTATGAAATAGGATTCTAATATGAGACAGCAGGTTTTCAACGTCCAAATTCAATCACCAACAGATGATGTCTATGAATTTAGCAGAAACTCCACGAGCTCATAATAGGGGACTTTTCTCTACTGATTATCTTATCACCAATACTTAAAAAAATTTTTCTTGATACAACTACTCTATTGTTATTGTACTTGACGTCATTATATGTTGGTGCTTTTATCATTATTAGCGCTGCTGTTACTTCGTCGAAAAAGGATTGAAATTAGTGGTCTTACCGGTGCAATATCTGCCCTCGCCGGAAACAACGAAGCCAGGTGGGCAGTCGCAGGCGAAGCTGCCAGGATAATTGCGACAGACTCCACCCTGGCAGTAATCCAACTGGCACTCGTCCACGTCCTCGCATCTACCGCCGGGCTTCCTCGTGAAACCCGGATAGCACTCGCACTCGTAGCCCTCCTTGGTGTCGATGCACTTCCCGTCGCCGCAGATGTCCGGCCGCAGCGCGCACTCGTTCACCTCGGTGAACGGCTGCTGTTGCGAGCAAAGCCTGTTGTAATCGTCTACAATTGAGTAATAACGTGGATCCTGTAGAATTGTCAGTCGCTGTAGCCGCTCGCATTTAGTCGATTTTTCACGCGGGGGTCCAGTTGTTTTTCGTTTCGTTTCGCGCGTCTCCTCGTTAAAAGAATTTTTCTGCATGCTCGCTTGCGTTCGGGCGAATCGAGACCGGGTTATCTTCGAAATTTCGTAAATCGACAAAGTCCACTTTTATTTAATACGATCAAATTAATTTAAATTGTGCGAGCACCGTCAAAAATTACGAAAATGTATCGTTTCGCGCGATCTGCCTTTCTGAAAGCGTGTACATACCACTGCCAGGATTGGGGCAGATAAAACACTCGTCGCCCCATCCTCGACCCATGTTCTTGCCGCAGCAACAATCCTTTTTACTCAGTCGCATCGCAAGCCGATTCCTGCACTGTCCGTTACGGTTCACCGCTGTATAACACAATCCCTGCCTGCCATCTGATGAACAATAATCAATCGTCAATTAAGAAAACAGTAAGAAGGCGCGAGAGAATTCAAGTCGAGAAATTTCGCGAAAGCGTAAAACGACTTGGTAATAGCAGAGACGATATAAAATTACGACTTTTATTATGATATTCAAGCACGATATCCGCGATAGCACTCTCGTGATAATAATTTAGTCACCGATGCAGAATTTGCGATCCTGGCTCTGTATGAATCCCGGATTGCAGTGGCAGTAATAACCGCCATTGGTGTTTATGCATCGGCCGTCCGCACAGATGCCTTCCTCCTGACACTCGTCCCTGTCCTTGCACTCGTTGGTCTCGGGATCCCTCGCTTGTCCCACGGGACACTCGCAGGTGAATGAGCCGGGAGTGTTGAGGCACTTGCCACCCTGGCAAAGCCCGGGAATCGCGTCGCACTCGTTGATATCTAAAGACATCGTGAGAAGTTATATTTATTTTAGTACAGGTATAATTTATATATAATCTGCTTTTTATTCTAGTAATTCTAACGTTTTTGCGTCGAATTACACCGTTCATTGATTAAGCGAATGTCTAAAAATGATACGTCGAGAATTACAAGTTAATTGGAAGTTAACCTACCGACGCATTGTCCCTGGTTGGTCTTTAAATAACCTAATTCACAATCCAATCTGGCCGGGCACTTCTCACAGGGGTGGCCCCAGCCCTTGCCCACGGTGGCACAGCACAACTGTCGCGTGCAAACCACCCCTTGCAGGCTCGCCAAGCACTGGCCGTTTTTTACTTTGGTGAAGCAAGGTCCGGTCCTGAAAGGTACACCGCGAAATTAACACCCGGAGCAATACGGAGATACGTTTATTATCTTACCTGTAATCGGTCTCGCAACGTCTTCCGGTGTAACCGTAGATGCAGGCGCAGCGATCTGGACCGATGCATCTTCCTTGATTCAAGCAGGGCTCGCGACAAATTGCTAATTGAAAAAATCATTTTCGATTAGTTATTTTTACGAAAGTATTTCTTTTATTCCCATTCTTCTTTTCGGCGTGTGTAAATGTCCTAAATTTCAATTTAGTCTACGCCAATTCACTTACGTTCGTTGCAAAATTCTCCCTGGTATCCGCTGCGACACTGGCATCGGCCATCGACACAGTTTCCGTTTATACAATGGACCTTACATCTGCCGGTCTCGCCGCGATCGCCGCCACTTCCAGTCTCGTGGGTGATGACTGTTATGAACATATTTGTTGAATAACAGGTCTTAGTTTCAACAAGTCAGTTGTTTTAAAAACTACTCAAGAGTGACAATTTTATGAAAAGATTGATCCAGCAAAGTGCGGAATATCTCACCTTTGCTTTGGCCGTTGCCACAGGCGGAAGCGACGACACCGCCTTCACATAAACAGATATTGGGTCTTATGCATCTTCCAAGAGAGCCGCAGCGTCTTGCGCAAATCGCTAAAATAAGAACAGTATTTAAAAGTTAGTATTTAAAATTTTCAAGCTTGATTTAAATTTGAGGGTCTTCGATATTGCATTGTTTTGCATTATTACTACTTTCTTTTTCCCTCTTTCGATAGAGAAACTTTATCAATCGTGAAAAATATTAAGGAGCCGAAAATTCAGACTGTTTTTCGTTTATAAATTTTCACGTAAGCAAGAAAGAGAGACGCATCATTTTTATTTTTATTGTTGTACTTAAAAGTTACATTATAGCAATGTGGATTCATAATAGCTAATTTTAATTGAAAGGCGACATCGGAATAACACGAAACGTTATGAAATAGCAATTACGCCATCAATAACATTGTCAGACACCCGGAAATTGTAAGGACCGAAATGCAGATCACGAGCGAAGTGCGGCCACATTACAAGACAATGCGATCAACAGGAAGCGCATAACAGGTCATTAAACCAGTTTTATTCGAGGCGACCGTTCGTGTCGCATAAATGCCCATTTGTCCGTTACGTAATTGCATCGATCGTTATCATTCCTGGGCAGTATCGATAATGATAGGTGGTTCCTCTCGCCCGATATTAATAACCGCTTTCCATTCTGCAAATATCTCGCGGGTGGTCCGATTGCGTCAGGATCGTAAGGATATGGGTTGTTATGTCCTGGATCGCGTGCGGTTGTTTGCTTTATTGTCAGTAGTGGCTTTTTATTACGTTGTTCAACCTACTATATATTTTAAATACTATTTCTTTTAGTTGTTAGGTTAATTTAATTACGATTCAATAATCCCTTTATCTATCACAAGATTTAAGGAGGAATAAAATTGTATGCTTGCCTTTTAAAAATTTAACCTACGAGCAAAACTTATTTCTTTACTGAGTTTTGATCTCACAATTAGTCTCTTCCGCGTTTTGCCATTGTATCGCCGTTGTGATAATTACTTTAAAAGTAATTATACCATATATTACTTGGAATTTTAATAAAAAAAAGCATTAATAAAATTCTATTAGTGCTTTTACTTACGAATGACGCACAGGCCCGTTTCTAGTTTCTTCGACCATCCCGGGCAGCAGTAATTTTTGGACCTCGATCTGCACACGTTCGGCCTAGAAGTAGTTTTAACATGTTTATTTCAATTTCCACGTGCACGTGTAGGCGATTTTGTAAAAAGAAATATATAAATGTGGGATTCAGTCGAGACCATTATTATATTCGAGATTGAGAAACACAGACTTTTTTTTAAAGAAAATACTAATGTAGTGTAAAATACTAATTTTTCACAATCCAAATTTATGAATTTTCTCAAATTGCAAATAGTCCCTTCGTTAGTTTCCGAAGTTGTGGAAGCGGCGATTAATCCTAAGTCACGAGGTCGTTCTCTATGGCGCCAGCCTGAAGAGGCCGCAGGCGGAAACGCGGCGTTTCCGCGGCATCGTGGCACGCGCAAGAAGGGAGGAGTGAAAAACGAGAGAGATAAAGAAAAAGAAAATGAAGAATGGGAAGAGAGCCGGAGTACCACCTCGGAACAAGGCGGCCATTCACATCTGGCGCCCCGTAATTAACGTCAGCTGCCTTCCTAACCGCGGCCGGCTTTAAACGCCGCCACTACGGCCCCTCGACGCCCGCAATCGCAATCGCTAGAGCACTGCCGGCTTTCTCACGTCACGCCATTTTTTATCACGCGGCGATAACGCGATCGTTATCTATAAACACGGCTCGTAGGGACGCGGTGGATCCGGAGGACTTTGAACCCCGAGTTCCGTCGATTCGACGATTCTTCGACCGAAGGGATAGGCGTCCTCCGACATTCTATCGCGCCCGGACGTTCCGCTGGGACACCCGAGTTCCGTTGATCCGACGATTCTTCGACCTGAGGGAGAAACCTCCTCTGAAATTTTATCGCGCACGGACGTTCCGCTGGGATACCCGAGTTCCGATAAACAGTATACGTTCGTACGCCCGGAGATAAAATCCGAGATTCCGCGACTTTAAGATCCCTCGAGATCACGGAGGTTTCTCCCGCTGCCAACCGGCCCGGCCTTTGCATTCCCTCGCGTGCCCTTCGAGCGTCAGCGGGTGCCCGACGCGGCAACATGGTCCCGCGCGCCCCTCGTCACGCCGGCACGAGGGAGATTAATGCACTCGCGTGTCCAGCATCTCTCGCGCTCTTCCTTTTCGCGCGTCTCCTCCGCGACTTCTGACATACGCGCTACACGCCTGGCGCGCATCATCTCCGCAGGCAGGGGCATTACATGCCGGGCGTTTGTAAGGGCGATATTTAAACCCGTGCCCGCGTGATGAAGCAATCTTGCTCAAACAGTGGCCCACTAACTGCTCCGGGTGTATATACCTGACGGATGTTTACACGCGATTACGTCGGTGAACGATCTCGCGCGCTCGTGACTTTGAGAAAGAAAGGTGGCCGCCATTTCGGTAATTTGATGTCATAAAGAGCTCAACTGTCTCCCCCCCCCCCCGAGCTCATTTAAGAGTAAATCTCTCTCACCCCCGTGCGCTTAGTCCGCCTCACTTTGTATTTTACTCTTCCCTAGTAGCACAGTGCATTGGCTAAGCGTTGCTCCAATGTTGGTTATAATTGTCCAACGTAAAGCCAATATTGGCCATGGGATGAACGTAAATATTGCACGATAATAATTGTATAATATTAGATCTATATTAGAAATGCATTAGCCAATATTTAACAATGCAATAAGAACATTGGTCTAATATCGATACAATATTAGACCAATATTGCTAAATAGACATATTGGCTAAATAAGAGAAGGCGTTCATCTTACAATGTTGGACCAATATTGGGAATGCCGGGTGTACATTACTGCCCAATATTGCGCCAATATATTGTGCTACTAGGGTTATTATCGTTTCGTCGACGACGCTGAAGTCCCGTTAAAACGCCGGTTGTCGTCACGGCAAACGTTCGAAATCGACGAGATGACTAACTTTGATACGCGTCGTTAATTGGAAGATTATAGCGAAGCTCGCGTTCGACTGGTAATAATAATAATAACGATAATTGGCGGCGGAATTACACGAGGTCGGCCATCATCTCCCAGCCGAAAGCTTTAATCCAATCTGTATGCAAATGGACGCTCCTTGGGTGATTATTGGTCCACCGTCGAACCTTGTATCGCGGTGTCCGATCGCACGCCGATCAACACGTGGCGCGCCGTTAACCGTGTCGGTGGGGTGTAATTTTAACACCCGCCTGTAATGATAGCGTGTCCTAACGAGCCCTGAAATCAATGCGCAACGTGCGTTCATCTCTCGCGCCGATATCTTTATTTGAAGATCTCTCCGCACTCGCGCGCTCCGTCTCTCCGCGCGGAAACGCGAGCCCCGTTTTCTCCACGCTTCCCTCGTACTTCGTAATTTTAAATAATTGTAATATTTTCGGCCTACAGAATCTCACTCGAGTTTATTTATCCTAATTTCCTTTGTCCAGCGGATCTCTCGTGTTATCATTTTCCCCAAGAGCCGCTCCGAAATGCCGCGAGAGTGTCAACTTGATTAAATATATCATTTTGTCGGATATCAATGTAATATTTTTGTAATTAATTCTTTTATCACTTGTTATCATCTCTAATGAATCAATAGTGTGTTAGTGGAGCCGTATAAGTGACTAGCGTATGGATAACATAGAGCTAATTAATGCGGATGATTAACTGCTCTTGCGAGAGTGTTCAATTGGAAACTACAGTGGCTCCTAAACGAATGGCGCGAATCGCGGGCCATTAAAATTAAGGCGATCAAAAGCAGTCGCGCTTTCCCATCGCGATTAGGGGCAAACAAACAATAGCGTTACACGCGCGAGGGATCGCCATCGCAAAAAGCGCGGCCCGGGCAATTGTTCGCGGTCCCCTTAGACGAGCGTTGTGTCACAAGTGCAATTGGTCGCGACACGTATTATTGCGACACGACGGCAGTTACATCGCGCGAGAAGACACATCGGGCGTCGATGTCGCGATCCTAAGCTGGTCCTGTCGAGCTCCTCGACGACTCCTCTCCAACAATAAGCCACGCAGTCACTTGAAGTGCCGCACGTCGCAAAGTGTTAAGTTTCCTGCTGGAAAACCTTTAACATTTTTTTTTCATACTTTCACAAAATCTCTTCCTTATCGAGGACTACTTATGGAAAAATCGCCGCTTAAATTGGCGAGGGGCACCGCGTGTCCTCCCCTTGTAAGATCCCTTCCCAGCGAGAAAGGACTCGTCGATCGATGTCGACCGACGAATCATTTCTTACTGGGTTGGAGCCTTGAAACCCTTCAGTCTCAGCAGCGCGAAACTCGGGTACCCCCGGAATACTTCCGGGTTGTGGGACATTGCCTAGGGCGTCGCAATCCCGGCTCGCCGTAATCATTTGTCTCCTCGCGTCGGGAATTATTGCGCTGCGATCGCGCGGACAGTAACGATCTTAAATTACGCTCTAAATCAAAATTAGTCGGCGCGATGAGCGACAGAAAAGCAGCTTGGTGCGCGACGCGCTGCTTATCATTACATAGTGCATGTCGGTTAGGTTTAACAACCTGAGGTTGCTGACAGCTTCATTACTTCGACATCGCTTCCTGTACACTCGTGTAACAAGATTTTCTCGAGGATCAGCGCCTGCGGGTGTTGAAATATGAATGTCTCATGTTCGAAAGCTCAAGGCGAACGGAGATAATATCAGGGGAGCGAGAAAAAATATGGTAAACGTAAAAGGTGCCAAGGTAAATCTTGAGACTATAAAGAACTCAAGTGGATCATCCACTGGACTGGCACTGAGGACTTTTTTTTTATTATCGATACCGTTTTCTCCTCTTTTCTCTCTCTCTCTTTTTCGTTGAAAACGTTCAACACGCGGAGAGAATTTTCTTTTAAAATTTACCCTGAAAATTATGTAATCGTGGGACATCGTGGTATTTTGAACTTTATGAGAATTTTTTGAAATTTTATCATGCATTTTATTAGTAAAAAAACTCTCATAAAATTCTTCAAAATGCAATGTCCCACGATTACGTGATTTTCAGGGTAAATTTTGAGAGAAAATTCTCTCCGCGTAGACATCGATAAAATATGAACGGCGCCTTGTCACGGAGTTGCGCTAAAGGTTGCGATAGCGGCTCTAATGCTAACCGCCTTTACATCCCTAGGACTTGCTACTTCACTTCCTGCCGCCGGCGTCGCGTAATACGCGGCTTAAATCAGTCTAAGTACTTGGAACTAACCGTGGATAATTTTAAGTGGCGATCCCGTTAGACTTAAAACCGACCCTGTATCCTATTTTTCACGTTGTCCCATTAAACGAGAGCGACGTCGGCGTCCGATCTGTCCTCCCGGCGGATCGTGCAAATGATGCGCAACGCGGTCCTCTTATCTACGGATTTCAATCTTGCAAACGCCCGCGTCTAAGAACGTACGCCACGCTATGCGCATGTAAAATTGAGCGACGCTAAAAAAAACACACACGGGAGAGGGTTGAAGAGAGGGGTGGGAAGAATGGATGGACGCTTCAGATTTGCTGCGGCAACGTTATCTCCGATAGCATTGTTCCATTATAATGTCCAGCGATATTTCTTCGCCGGTCGCGCACCAGCGCGTCCACGTCCCAGACGGTGGAGCCTTCTTTTTCGCGGATTACGCGGTCGATCATTCGCGCGGCTCGCCCGGCGTTATCGGTGACGATCGGGACGACGACGAACGGCACGTCGGGGCTGCCGGCGAGGGTACCATTCGTCATTCGGCGGAATGATGAATCGCCGGCGCAATACGCTCATATAGACGCTCATAGACCGGACGATGGTGAACGGGTCATCTCTCGCGGCGCCGATAAAAACCGGTGCCGCGAAATGTGCGCTCCGTATTCCGGGGTGCCCCCCGCGCCGCTTATCGCGCCCGCTCGTCCGCATTCCATCTCGGCGCTGTTAATTAATTAACGTGGAGACGCGGCGTTTATCAACCGGATAATGCAGCTGCTGCTGCTGCAACTCGCACGGAAGAGAAGGAAGCGCCTGGCCTGTGCTCCTCGATAACAGTTTACACGTTTACCGAACCTGTATCTCAGCGATTTTAACGCGACACTCGGATTTTCTAATCCAATTTCGCTTCGCGTCCAGGTGGTCAATTCTGGGTCTTGCACTACCTCTGGGAAAATTTACTTCAAGTGAACTCAAAGTTTCTAAAAGTAATCTTTCAAATCAAAAAGTTTACACAAAGAAGTTAAAAGTTTACTTCAGAAATTTTAGAGTGATTTTGGACACTCGAAGAAAATTTTAGATAGCTGAGTTGGTCGAAGTTCTCACTAGAGGGCCGCGCGGCATAGCACTTTCTCGTAAGAAGAAAACCGCAAGTGTAATTACAAATTATGTCACATGCTTTTCACAATTCTTAAAGTTTTCTTTTGAATTCTTAAAGTAAGTTTGAAGTTTACCTCAAATAAAAGTTCACAGTGTCCACTTTCCATATTATTTATTTTTCTAAAATAAAATTTTCAGGTTTTCTAAAAGACCGTCTACATCGGAAGTAAGCAGTAAGAAGAAAATATAACCTTTACCTATCAGTGTAAAAGCTAAAGTACAGGAATAACTTTTTAAAATATTTATAGCACTGGTAGAACTGCGCTCTAATTCGCCGAGAGTAAGCGTCAGAGCTGAAGTAGGAGAAGAAGTGGAAATAATTCATTTCTTTACTCCTACTTCTTACACCAGGCTTACTTCATCTATTGTAGACGATCCTTAAGGTATATTTTCCCAAGGGTATAGTGAAAATGTTAAAAGTGAGTAGCCTTGTCTTCAACAATCAAAGCCGCTCACTTTTAGCATTTTCACTACGTTGCAAGATACAGAATTGAACCCCTGACGATCGTCTCGCGCGACCGTTTTATGACCCGTCTTTCAGGCACGAGGCGCAAAACGTTTAAAAACTTTCGACGAACAAATCTTCAAGTGTTTCGCGCCACTCACGACGCCGGCTCCAAATTGTGCGAGTTACGAGTATTTTGATTTATTCGTAGGCCAAAGTGCAAATTAGAAAGTATTAGTTACAAGAAGCCGCAAGCTATTTGAGCCGCGACTTATGAATTAGAAGAGCAGCAAGCACTTACATTGAAAAGCTCTGAAGTATCAATGAAAAATATCTTTTTAATTTCCAAACAATTTAAACCGCGACCGAACGTTCCGACAAAGGGAACGTGCGCGGCCGGAAGGGTTAAACGAGCTCCTCGCTAATGCAGACGTATTAACGGGCGTTCCGTCAGAGGCAATTAAAAGCATTGTTTAGGTAGCGTTACTTAACCGGCGACATTTAAGAGCGTTATTAATACCATAACGTCAATTAGCTGCAATTCCGAGGGGGGGGGGGGGGAAGGGGGAGTCTTTAGTCGACCGTATTGCCATCTCATCGTCGGCGCCCGGTTGGAATTTGATCGTCGCATCCAAAACACGCGAGAAAAATGCTTAAACCGTCGGCGCTGTGCTGGCGAGAAGAAGGTGCGAGAGCCAAACTGGAACGATATTTGTCGCGCCTCAACGAACACGCGAAGGAATCGTAAAACGCGTAATCAGCGCGAACAACAGATAACGGGTGCCCTACAATCGTTGAACTTTGTCATTTATCATTTGTATTCCTCTAAATGTAAAGATAATGTAGCGAGCTTATTCATATCCCGACTCCCGCCGGCGAGATTATAATTTCTAAAGCCTGTGTCACACGGCGCGAAAAGCAATGCAAATTAAACGCGTTGCCGTTACGCGGCGAGGGGGCGTGGAGGGGGCGGGCGAGCGGTAACCAAATAACGAATGAGTTGAATGATTTTGCAGCGGCACGCAACTTGCCGCTCGTGTGTCGTAAGCGGATTAATTTCTGTCCGAGCGCGGATGAGATTAGTATCCATCCAGTTACGGTATATTATAATGATAAAATTAGTAATGGAAATTAGTGTCGAAACTAGCCATGAGATTATTTCATGGAGCTAGATCTGCAGATATTCCCACGCGGATTAAAGCTGCGACGATTCGCACAATTATGCAAGCATGCAATCTTCTCTCTCAACGCATCCCGAGGCGAAAATCTAAGTCATATAAGCCATCGTTAAATACGACTTATGCTCGATTTCTTTTTGTTGTTTCCCCCCTTTCGAATGCCCTGCGTCATATATTCTCAATGCCCAAATTATAATCGGCCCGTGAGTTGCGGCCGGACGTATCGTCCCTCGGGAAAATATACCTCAGAAAACGTTAAAATTTTACTTTAGAAAAATAACCCCTGGTCCACAGTCTTGCTTTAAGTAAGCTGTAAGCCTTCGGCCGTAAGAAATTAACCAGTCACAGGTGAGAGTGAGGGGAATAAATGCCTGTAATTGGTTAATTTCTTACGGCTTAATACTTACAGCTTACTTAAAACAAGATTGTGGACCTGGGATAAGAAATATGAAAAGTAAATTTGGACGCTTTAAACCTTGATTTAAGGTAAACTTCTAACTTACTTTAAGAAGTCAAAAGAAAACTTTAAGAATTGTGGAAAGCGTATTATATAATTTGTAATACCGCGCGCGGTTTTCTTCTTACGGGAAAGTGTCCAAAATTACTCTGAAATTTCGTAAGTAAACTTTTAACTTCCTTAAATAAACTCGTAGATTTGAAAGATTACTTTTAAAAACTTTAATTTCATTTAAAGTAAATTTTCCCAAGAGAACAACGTGCTCCAAAGTCATTTTTGCGAAAAGCAGCTCTCGGAGCACCTTCTTAATACATTTAAATGCTACAAGTGTAAATACTACGCTTATCTTTTGAGCATCTGCATAATACAGATTTTCGCCTTGGGATTCCTATCAGATCAGCGCGCAGCATACGTGCGCGCGTGTTTCATTTGCGCGTTTCGATAACCTCGCCAATTTCCGAAATTTCATTCCACGAGACGTGGAAGCCGCGAAAAATTTCCGGAGGAAGCTGGACAAATCGCGCTTGGCACGCACGCGGAGAAAAATATTTCCGCGCATACTGTTGTCAATTGACCGCAATGGCTGGACGTGCGCGCGCGCGCGCGTTTGTGGTTAATCCCGTTTATTATCTCGTCTGCTTTCCGCGCGGCCGCGAAAACATCGTCGCGGCGAAGCCGGAGGCGCGCGAATCGCGAAAATAGCGCAAGTGCAGAACTTTATCGGCGCGACTTGACTCTTGTTGTGAAAAAAAAGAAACGGGCGCTACTTAGGCAGAATTCATGCGCGCCGCGTATAACGTAACACTCCGATAACCCAATTAGGTGTTATCGCGTCATTTAACTCACGAGGACGGTGGTCGCGCGAGGAAATGATCGGGATCATTCTCGAGAGATCCGCGCTGTTAGCGAAATAAGTGCCGCGTTGTTACGAGAGCCTCTCGCGTTCTCAGTTGGGACGATTTAATCTCTTTAAGTGACCGACCGTGGTTCGCCAAGGACGTTGGAATATATGGCATTTCGTCATTGTACCGAGACAGCTTCTCTCGCCTGTAATTATCTCATCCTGAAATGTTGCCTGGTTTTTTAAATACTTATTTCCTGGTTCGCGACACCATTTCGAGTATGAGGTGCCTACTCCGGGAAAGAAAAGACAGCAACACATTTCGGGGCCCGCAATTGGCAATCGAATTATTTGGATTGTTCGTAACACTTTACTCTGGGAAAAATTTTGACCGGTTTTTCCGTAGTTAAGCAACTTAACATTTCGATTAGTGCCTCTTAAGTGAAAATGATCTTTGCGTTACTGAATATCGACAGAACTAATTGGGAGAATTGATTAGTATTACTTTAAAATCTTGGGTATAGATAGAATAGCTATAATTGCGATTTTTAGTTACGCTGGGTAAAATTCGTGAAAGATCAGAGTGTGTTACGGACAAATACAAATAATTCGATTACTAATTGCGGGCCCCAAAATGGGTTGCTAGCTGTCTTTTTTTTCCCCCAGAGTGATCGACAATGTACGCGTTCTCTGGCTGTGTTGACTATGATAAGGTGATCAAATTCGGATTAGATACCAAATATGGATAAAAAATTGGATCGGTCGCTAATAAGCTACGTGTTTTTATGTCGCTTATTAGCGACTCATCAAATTGTTGATCTGCGTGGGTCAATTCTGTGTCTTGCAACGTAGTGAAAATGCTAAAAGCGAGTGGCTTTGTCTCTTTTTGAGAGGACAGTTAGAAAGAGACAAGGCTACTCACTTTTAGCATCTTCACTGTAGCGTAAGGTGCAGAATTGACCACCCGATCCGAATTTGGTCACCGCATCCTATGTGATTAGAATAGGAAGTGGTCAGAAATTTGTCTGCTAGAGTTTCGCGATCTCGCGGCCGTTTGTATCATATTGCGAATACTCACCCGAGGGGTGGCGCCGACTGCAGAGTGTTGTCCAGATCTTGGGTCGGACTCGGGGTGTAACGTTGCCCCGTCGCTACCCCATCCTGGATGAATTGAGGTGCCAGGACGATCCAGGCTGTCAGTAATGGCAGTGCGAACATCCTGCGCAAGGGACTCCTTGTCTCTGATCCGATTCCTTCTTCGGAATTATCCTGGATTATCGTCTTAACTCGCGGTCTCGTCGATACTTGCGCATCTAACACGCATGATCCTTGATCGATCTCAAGGGGTTTTTCCAAGTCGTCGCGATCATTCCATCCGTCTACAAAGACAATTTACAGCTCTTCTGTAGCCCCCTGCTCGGCAAATGCTCGCTCGATTTTACTATTTTAAAGTTTATACGTTCGAATCGTCCGCATTACTTGACTCACACGTATGTCGCTTGTAAAGAAAATTTTCATCTGAAACTCACGCATCCTCCTTTTCCTATTTCACCGCGTGAATTCTCGCCGAGAAACATAACATGCGATAATTCGCTCGCGAGTGTGATGCCTTTCCGGAAGCGCCAAATTAGTACGATGAGATAGAAGCAACTATCTTCTGATATAAATATCCACCATTGCGTTTTGGCGAGAAGCGAGAAGCGAGAATTTACGATTAAATTTGCATTGTCGCGGCGAATAATTTATCCCTTTACTAAAATGCATTCACCTTCATTTTAACGCCGTGGATTATCGAAAATTTATTTTATAAATTCCGCGATACGTTTAAGGTTTGATATCTCATAATATTCTTTTAACTGGACAAATAATAATCTAGAAGCATGTAGATTTTTCACATTTTTTATAAAGTTTTAAAAATATAGAAATACCGCGACTTTTTTTTATTACAGAAATGTTTTTCATCTTTTATTTCTTAGAGGGATGATCCGAGTGAACTATCTAGCTTCTTTTTTTTTTAGACAAAAGAACAAGGAGGCTTTAACTAAAGAAGCAAAGGAATTGTCCCGCAAATTCGCGCGCCATCCGTGCAACTTCTACTCGTTATCATAACGCAAAGGCACGGCCAGCGTTTGAAGCCTATCTTTAAAGTTCCATAAACTTAAGCGATTCCCGCGAAAAAAAGAACAGGCCTTGTTCGCGCGTCCTATTACGAGCGGAATGAATTGAGATAGGACCTCGAGCGGAGCGTTTCAGCTTTGAGCGTTTCACCACCGTAGCGAATGAGCTCGTAAAGTCTCCACCACGGCGTTATCGAGCCTATTGAGAGCTCCTCTTTGCGAGGAAGCGAAAATTTCCAAGAAAAATTCGTTCGGTTACATAATAAGAATAAGACAAAAAAGGTTCTCTTGAAGAAATAAAAATCTACTTTTCTCGATCAAAACTTCTTACGTCGCGTACTTTGTCTTTTCCCGAAGTGGTTCCGGATCTCTTCGCGATTCAGCGAGAAGAAAGTTTTTTTTCCCCGAGAACGAAAAAGCTCGTTTGAGATAGGGGAATATTTTGAAAAAGTACAAGGATTCTCCTTCTGTTGGAAAGCACAATTTTCGTCGCGACGAGTCAAGAAGGTCTCAAACCCTTTCGGACGTACCTGTTTAAACGAACGACAGTCTAGTATAATTCCATAACTAGCATGAGTCGCTCGCAAATATTCGCGCTAACAGATCTGCGACACGCGCGTGGGCTGGTCGACGATCGCGCATATCGCGATTATAACTGTGTTCGTTGTGATCTCCAACGACGCACGCGATCACGCGTGAACGAGCCGACAGCCGCGATCAAAGATCATTCTCAAAAAATCGCTCGCTTAGGTCAGCACTCTGCGAATCGAGCCCCAATACAGATTCGCGACACGAACTAACCCTCGATTCGTACCGCGGATGATCTATGATACGAATGGCGACGTGGTGCTTAATATTTCCTATCTACGGAACCGGAAAAGATCTCCGAGAGACCGGGGATTAAGAACCGAAACATTTCATTCGGCCAATTTTCCTGCGATTACGCGTTTAAATGTTTTAAAATATAAAATATTAAATTCAAGTACTACATAAACACTGATTATCAAAAAGCGCTCATAACAGACTTTATTTTCAAATCGAAGTTTACCTGTTTCATTTCTTCGCGCGTTATCAAGCAGTAATATATAATTAATATATATAATTTAAATTGCCAGAAGATAAGCAACGTATAGTACAAGAACCACGTCACCAAAAAAAAAAAAGAATGGGGAAGATTAGAATAAAAGAACACCTACGCGCCTTTCGATTTCCGGCGGACCAGCGATCGATCTTTCGGTCCGCTCGAAATCGATCGGTCCCAAGGGAGACGGACCTCGGAAAGATGCGCCGCGACGGGACTCGACGCGAGACTGGAGCCGCAGATTGTAGACTCGAGGAGAGAACTCATCTGGGAGGGCTCTCTCTCTCTCTCTCTCTCTCTCTCTCTCTCTCTCTCTCTCTCTCTCTCTCTCTCTTTCTCTTCAACATCTTCAACTATCCTTATCTTTTGCTCTCTGTCTCTGCATCGGTCTCTCTTTTCTTCCTTCAGTCCACACATCGTATGGATCGTGTCGATCTCGTTCTCCCCCTCTTGAGACGACGACGACGACGACAAGACGGGCCCACCCCTTCTACTTAGCTGTTAACACCATGCGTGTGTGAGGGCACGGATACGTGCGCGTGCACGCGTGCATACGTTCCGAAAGGATGCGCTTCGATGCTCGATCGATCAGTCAAGAATGCGATTTGCGTGAAATTGGCGGAAGTCAGGGGAGTCAAGCTCCTTTTGCTCGTGTCAATTTATTAATTGGTACACTGAGAAAAAGTTTCATCGGGTAAACCTATTAAACAGTGTTTCCGACGGTTAATTGTTCCGATTACGTTTTCCGATTAAATTATGGATACATTCGATAAAATTTATCCGATGAAATTTGATTAAAACCGATCGTATTTTTCATCGGGTATATCTGTTTGTTATTATGTAATTAGATTATCCGATTATATTTAATCGGATATTTTTCTCAGTGTACCGATCTATTTTGACGAGATCGTGCGATGAGTTGAGTTTTACTCAGAATTGAGAGGTCAAACAAATAAGTTCTCTCTCTCTCTCTCTCTCTCTCTCTCTCTCTCTCTCTCTATTCTTAAAAATTTAATTACTCCTAAACTTGACGCAAACGTATTTTCGTTCTGGGTACTTGTTATTTTTAATCCCTCTGAAAAAGGGGTATAAAATAAGAATATTTCCTTTCGACTTACAAATTAAATAATAAAGTTAACTCCCGATTATCGGTCAGTGGATTAATTCAGTAAGCTGAAAAAATTATCGTCTTAGCGGATATTTGTTCTCAAGTAATTTCATTCCCCGGGGTAGTTTTATTCCATTGTTTCTTATATAATCCCTATCGTACTGTACGGTTACATCAGGAATAATTATGTAATGAAGGAGCGGTCTTGATTCACTTAAGATATTCCGCGCATTATCTACATCTTCATAATTTCCTCGTTAATATTGGATGAGCTTTCACAACTTTTGTGATTTTCTCATTAATGTTGGCCGCTCTTCTACAATTGCGCACATCTAATCTAGCGTTATCGAATGAGGTTGCAGCTTCAATTGAGAAATCCGGGTGACATTGACCTTTGGGTTACTCGACCGAAATCAGAAATAGGCCGACACTTCCGGAGTCCGTTCAAATATGGCACGCGATAGTTTATATATAGCAAGTGGAATATTTTTATACATGATGAATATAAATTATTTATTCTATTTGTAAATATATATATATACTTTTCACTTTTAATTCATTTATATTTTTCGAATATTTAATCATATCACTTACCCAAAATTTTAAGTCACATGAAATTAAAAATTTTTTAATTAAAGTTTGATAATTTAATTCAATTATAAACTATAGTTTTTGTAATTACAATATTCATAATTTAAGTAGTACGCACAATATGTATGTACTATAAAATTGAAAATTTTAATGAGATGTGACTCGTGTATTGCATTATTAGAAATAAATTATAATTTAGAAGTCTAGGGTACTCACATAATCGTACGTTTAATTTAGAAATTATTGAATTGTTATTCAGTCCAGTTTAATGGAAATTTTGATAAATCAGTTTAACCATGATATGATCTACCTCAATGTATTACAATTTTTAATGGGATCAAGAACCGTGAACCACATGTCGGTTGCACGTTGGCCCTTCTCATCGGTCTTACGTAATCGCCATTGTCGCCGACGACGTTTAGCGCGGCTCTTCAAGATCCTCGAGGTCGGGGGGGTCTAATGATATGCGGGTGGGAACGCGCAGCGCGACGCGACAGCGTGTACGTGAACTTCGTGCGCATATGTATTGCACATATACGAGAAGAAAAGAAACCGGGAGAGTGAACTAAGATGCACGGCTAATAGGGACGCGTAAAGCGTATCCGAGCGCGACTCGGTATGCCGAGTCGACTCGCGCGAGTCGAGAGGCCGCGAGATGCCCGATAAAACGCGAGAGAACCGCGTGGTAAAATCCGCCTCCTCATCCACGCATTCTGCATCGACGAGAACTGTCGCCAGCGAGGCCGTCTCTCGCAGGGCGATGGGTGCGTGCAGCACCCACGTGGATTCAGCCGCTCGATCAGCAATACACGATACCCGTACAGCACAGAAAGTTCAAATAATGTTGCTGAAACGTTGCAATGTTGAACGTTGAAGTATAAATATCTCTTCTACGTTAAATCTAGATTTGTACATTAATTCTTTATATTGCTGCAACGTTAAAACGATCTTGAACAAATTATTATTTTTTGACACTCAAATAGGTACTTAAAAAATATATAATTATGATATGTATATATAAAATATTTTTGCAACGGTCAAAGATTTTCTGAGCTATAGATTGGATTATTATTTTAGTGGAATAATTCAATTTCAGCACTTTCAACAGTTGTAGAAAATACTCTGCTAAACGCGACCAATGTTAACTCGATATAATTTAACAATGTTTTCTGAATGTTGAATCGTAACGTTTACAAGGCATTACAATTCAGCGGGCATTAGACGTTTTTGCAATATCTTTTCAACGTTGAATATACATTTCGTAACGTTGATGCAATATTGCACGTTTTCAACGCCCAAACTCAATCGCAAATCTTTTTTTCACGACGATTATACGATCTAACAATGAATTTTCCACTAAACAGATTTCACTCCACGGACAATAAATTCATGATGGAACCAACAGATAATGCCTGTTAATTTACCCGCAACTCCGCTATCTCGTATTAGAAGCCTATCTTATATTAGAGGATCGTTCTCCATTTATGCTGGAAGAATTTTTAGCTTTCTGTTATAAAATATTTCTAAATATATGTACTATTTTTGTTACGTATGTATTGCCCATAATTGTCCCACATTTTAGTGACAAATGTTAATTCCTTTATCAATATACTTATTGTCATATTTCTTATTTACTGCATTATACTGGTTCGTTTAAATAATCTCTTATTCTAATTTTCGAAATAGTTCCACGGCGCTTGAAACAGCGGAATCAAATCGGTTCTCAAGTTATGTGTTCTCAGGTTAAATACCCAGAATACAGTATTCAACGCGAGTACATACGCACTTGTGCGTGATGCAGCGATACGCCGTAATTGTAATTCGCTGCGCGACAGACAAGATCGCCTAACACAAACATGATCGACAGTGATTACTAGCTGGGCTGACGCCGATCCTGAATGCAGTAGCAGCTGCACCTGCAATCAGCGTGTAAGCTACTACAGCGTATAGCGTGTACAATAGACGGGCTCGATTGGTCGCAATATTCGAATCGAGAAGTGATAAAACTCAAACTGATTCGAACTGAAGAATTGTACCAAGCCGAAGGCGCGACTTCGCTGAAACGTAAAAAAATATAATCAAACTGACAATGGGACAAAAATTGAAACTCAGATCGCAATTAGATTGAAGTAGATCTTGAAAATAATGTTAACAATGTAGTTCACAGTGGGAATCGAAATTAAGATCAAAATTTAGCATTCAATTTGAGGCTGAAATCGAAAGTGGGTTTGTTTGTTGATTCACCAGAACCAATGGGAAATTTTATGGTGGATAAATACGTTGCCAGTACTCGAGACCGTTTATCGTGTCCACTGTACGTCTTGGATCACCCTCTCTCGTAGACGTCTCCTCTCGCAGTTTCATAATAATCCTGCTAGACCGCGTGGACTGGTCCCGGATGAAAAATGGGCGGGACGAATCGCCGTTACTTCTTTCTTGGACGGCCAGATAGGCGTCATTAAAAGGTGGATCCTGGACAGTCATCAACGCGAAGCGAGTGTGCCTCTCAAGTGAACAGCGCTCTCGACGTAGCAGCTACTGAAATATCACTTCGTTCGGCTCTCGCCGGCAAGTTGCGCGTTTCTGCTTGCTATAACAGCCGGTAATTTAATTTATCTTATATTTATTCATTAATTCGATACAGCTTATGTTATTAAAATTTTTTAAGACCTTAGTCATTTGCGGGTGTATAATTAGTAAATCACAGTGCTCGTAAATGTAATCGACCAATTATCGTATCATTTTATAAGACGGGATCTTCTCAATTCTTTTTCCTTTTTGTCTTATTTTTCGCTTTCTCGATTATCAAACTATCAATATAATTCTTTCTCGTTTCGCAAGCAGCGCCCACGAGAGTTCTTCTCTGCCGGAAATTCTCCTCCTTCTTCTCGAGGCGCTTAACGTACCTCTGCAGTTGCTTGTTCATTAGTGCACTCAAGTTCTCCAAGTAACCGGAATAATTCGTTTGACTGTCGACGATACTGGCGGTATGTTGATTCTTGAATATTTCATCGTCGCTTTTCGTCTTTATCCAACGACGCTTCGCGATCTCGTCTCGTCTCATGTATCTCGTTAGGTCCAGAGCAGATAGACGGTGAGATTCTGGTGGTTTCAAGGTTCTATATTGCCTTGTGTGCGACAGACAAAACGCTGTGTCTTCGTCCTCTATTAATTTCAGCTGTATCTTGTTCCTATTCGACGACGCATCAGGTTCTGTTTTCGAGACGTGCGCATTGAGAAAAGCTTCTCGCAAGTTCTTTCCACATTCGAGTCGATTTGGATCCTTCGACCACCAGGACTCTTTCAGAAGTACAATTTCTTGCTCTCTGCTTTTGTCCTCGCAGATCTAATGCATACATTTTGATAAAAAACAAACGAACATGTGTTTTCTTATAGAAACCAATCTTCTAAAAAAAAATAAAAAATAAAAAATATGAGAGGTTTCAGGAAAAATCAAGAGTTTAGGATCTAGTGTCGCAGAACATATTAATTCTTAATTTGTAAATAAATTACTACGTTTAAACAATGTGACATGATTTCCTTGGTTAAAGTGGAACAAACTATATGTACGTACCTCTACAGCGTCCCGAGCATCAGTGACAATCTGGAGAATCCAATATGGCGGTTCCAAAGCTTGTCTTTCATTCGCAAACTGTTTCGTGTCCTTTTTCATTGACAAGCCAGAACTCGATGATGCTTTCCCAGATTGTGTCTTCGCTGTGACATCTCTCGCACTCTTCACCTTTGCTTGGCCCGCGACTGTCCACTCGACATCTGTGAGGGGCCAACTGTTGTTGAGCACAAAAGCCTCTATGTAATACAAACTTTTTCTCTTCTCTGACATTTTTAACTCTTTATTAATTTCTGGATTCTCATTTTCAGTCTTGTACGCTTTAGCATTTACGGCGGCGCTCCTCAAGATCACCAAGGGTAACAAGACCGTCGAACCACCGTCCACGTCAACCAAAATATTGTCATCTTCATCGAGAACTTTTACGTTGATCTCCGTCAGATTGTAGGAAGCTGTTAATCTTATCGAAACGATGCTTCTCTCCACAGCTGTTCGCAGTGTCCACCGCGAGATACAACTTCTCGCGTTCGGGATGTATGTACCGACTAACTCGTCGACCGTCAGTCTGGGTGGTTTGGTCTCCAAGGACAAAGGCCGCTGTTCGCCCAATTGATGAAACATTGGGTCACCTTTCATAGTGACCACGCGAATCGTCCAATCGAGCTCTTTAAAGTGCTGCCTGTCGCTCCAGCCGTAAGCAAACACCGTGTAACCATCCGGAAGATGCTCGTAATAAGCCGGAATCACATGGTTCACGCGACGCGTCAACTCGCGTCCATCTCGGTTGTTGAAGACACGCAGCGCGAAACGAGGGAGATCGATCAGCAACTCAAAGGCCGCGAGAACCGTCTCCCCGGGTTTGGGATTAACGACGAGTCTGACAATCGGGAACCACTGTTCGTGCCTGACGTTTCTCAGAACTTCTCTGCACTCCTGAATATTCAAAACGTGTATGAAGTCTTTGGAACAAGGATACAGATCGCGCAGGCTACTATGGCGATTGATGACGTTCCTCAGTAACCGACTTGCGAGGGATAAGTCGAATAGATCGGATATCTTCAGGAGCCGTTCTCGAGTCTGCGTGTACAGAACGTGATCAGGATTATGAAGTTGCTTATATCCCTTTATGATAACCATTTTGAGGAAGGATTGAATCGTCGTCGCTGCTTGATCGAAAACTTCTTCACTGTTGCGTGATATGTCGAACCATATTTTTGAAGTTTCCTTTATCGTACGGTCACGAATAGTCTTCTGATTTGTCAATAAATCAAGGTATTCTGATCTAATATGCGGATTTAAAAAAAATACCCTCAAAGCGTGAAGAGTGTCTTCGACTTCTTCGTCGGGAACAGTCTCCTTGACCAATCGAATTTGTTCTTCCATGAAGGAATTGTGTATTAGCGTTCGAAAATTTTTATTTTCTCTTGACGGAATAAACTGCAAGCTGGGCATGTAGCTTCGATAAAAATTTTCCAGCATTGCTGGATAATCCTTTGTTCCAAACGATCGATAAGCTCTGCAGAGGTTGTCGCTGATTATTTTCGACGTTTGCTCGGTCCTGCCGGATTCCGAGGTCATCAGCCGTTGCACAGTTGCTCGATCTCCAAGACGGAAATCCGTGTTCGAAGAAATGATCGTTAGACCGGAGTCCGAGCGGCTGTGAATCCGCAGAAGTTGCCTGCCAGCTTCCAGCTCCATAATGGTCGACTTGTTGCCGGCTGTGGAAATAGCTATTGATTGATCTGACGGCTCCGGTACGAGAAACCAGTTGTATTGTTCCAGAATTAAACAGTCCCTTTCGCGCAAATCGGTATTCTTCTTCTTCAATGCGGCGTAGAGACTAACCAAGAAGAACTTCTTCCTCGGAGAATCGCAGAACAGATACAGAGGCTTGAATCTGGATTTCAGAATCTTGCCGATACTATTGTAAGTGTCTGCAAATTTTTTAATAAAAAATAAATTGAAATGACTGGATTGGAATCTCATGGTGTGTCATTTTATTTATAGCAAAAGAACTCAAGCTATTTCTGGCATTAATCATCAGTGTACTAGCATTACATATTAACATGTTTCAAAGCACTTGAATGTAAGTGCTTTGAAACAAAAATTCTATAAGCTATGGTAAGAAGAATATGGATATTTTATTTTTTAATTGAGAGCATATACTGCTCTGAAGTCTGCTTAAAGGCCGAAGTACCTGCTTTCTCTTTTCCGGTCTCCTTTGAAGCGGCCCTCGTTGCTTCCGCTTTCTGGTTCTCACTGGCTGTCTTTAATACGTCGCCTGTTACTCCAATCGAGCACTGGAAGTACTCCAGCTTATAGAACAGATGCACCTCCGTTACGTACGAAGCCATCTTATTGAAGTCGATCCATTGATTGACACTTTCCGTTGCTTCTTCTTTCGATATGGCGGGCAAGTCAGATATTCTCTGAGATCTTGTTCTTCTCTGAGCAAAATTATCGGACCGCTCGATCTCGCTCGAAGAGATCAAGTTTCCTGCAACGTCACTTTTATCGCGAGCAACGCTCTCGTTGCACTCCTTGAGAGGACTGATCACCCTCAAGTAACGAATCGGAACGAAATAGTCCGCAGGATCGATCGCATTTCGTGAAACAGCCCATTTTAGCCAGCGATGAAACTTCCACTTCGCTAACGGCGGCTTTACCTTGGAAGGTAATTTAAGTCAGTTACAATCGGGCCAAAGACAGGAATCTAAAAATGTCACAGAAATATTGAAGAGATATCTCAACACTTTTAATATTCTTGCGACCGTCTTCGTGTGCGCTTTAGACTTTTGTGCTACTTGGAGCTCTATTTCTCCCGAGATTTCCCTTTGTGTCCACGCAATTGAATTGAGACGTGATTCTTACGTCTTTTGGATCCAGAGGAATGTTGCGCGATTGGACAACGTGGACCATGTGATCCCAGCAGGGCGACAAGCCGGGCACCGCGTCGCTCCCGAGTGCTCGCATGTCGCCCAAGAAGAGGAACAACGCGATCGGTTGAGGTTCCTCAAGCTCGGTGGCGAACGGCTGCGGGGTTTCCCCAGGTATCCGTGTTTCACCGGTCGTATTCGCGGAGCTGTCTACTCGGAGATACAGACGGGAATAACGTGACGCCGTGACCGAAGAAACGTCTATTAGATTATCATGAACGCATACGTTCGATGGACGCACCTGGAACGAAATTGTGTGCGGTTTGCGATGTCCACTCGAAATGTTCCGAATATCTCGCTAGGAAGTCCCACTTGTCCCGCAACGACAGATGCGCGACGTTCATTGTCAAACACGTCCAGCCTGTTATTATTAAAACTTATATTAATACAAAATCATTTCTCGTGCCACATTAGCGGGATCAGTCATGGTGACTTATTAATTTGTTCACAGCAGATAGTAAATTTCGAGACAAGCCGTTGGAAATTAATAAAGTTTAAAAAAAGAGATTTTCTCTAAAGCAAGTGCATTACTTTGCAGAAAACAGAGTCATAGAATAAAAGAGGTGGATATAATGTCCACCTGTCAGGCAAGCGATCGGATGGAAGTCGACGATCTCGCGGCGTCTGCTCCAAGATATCGCAGCAATCTTGAGCAACGCTTTGGCGAGAAGCATCGGCCATAGTTCGTAGTTGTTGGACGTGCACGGTAAAAGAGGCCTGTCACTTTTATCCACGGGAATCATGTCGTCCACCAGGATTCGGCGCCAGCATCCCATGCAGTGTAATCTTACCACATACTTTCCTAAAAGGTATTCAAATTGCCAATCTGATGCGTTGATTAGGACCGCGATGATTGAACTTTTAGCCACGCATAAGATGACAGATTGATTTTAATTGTGAAGAAATTATTGTCCATTTTTTAATCTGTGATTCAACAATGTGCACAAAGAATAAAAAAATTGTCCATGTAAATCGTCAAAAATATTGCGCGCTGAATGTCACCATAGCCACCGTTTGGATTTATCGTGGGTCGATGCTGGACGCCTTTCCCAGCTTTGTTCATGGAATACACGTGCATCCAACCGTACCAGGGACTATGACGACCGGCCCACACAAAATTCGAACCCTCCCCGCTGATTTCCAAACCCTCCCGACCGCAATATTGCAGGTTTACCAGCGCAGACACAAACCATCTCACGAACTGGAAATCACCATTGTATCGTCATTGCTCTTATTATTTCGCAACAATTTTTACAAATCGTCGAAGAAATTTTACGCTGAAAGCTAAGAAAGTACCTCGCTGTGCAGCAAATGCTTATTGTTCGTAACCAAATCAGGATATTCCACCGGCGTAATGTATACTGTTGGTGGAGCCTGAAGACGGTATTTCCATATTCATGTCGAGACAGTATATTGAGGCAGCATAAATCGCGCGTGTAATTGTTGGAGCTTAATTTGGAGCTTATAGCATGTTAAAGAATTAATATCGGTTATCTGAAATACACGATTAAAACAGTGGCAGTACAGTCAAGTGCTTCAAATCCTTTGCTCGTATCCAGCGATCAGGTTCTAAGGACCGTGGCATTACGACATGCTCTGCATCCAGGAATGATCCATCGGGGCCGTCCTTGGGAATTTCCCATTTCTCGTTGTTCAGATCGGCGTCCTTCCACTCCGGCCACGATCCGTACGCGACGTTTGGGTCAGGATAACGACTAGCCGCAGCAGCGAGAAAACCTTTAGACTTTTCCGACATATTAGAAAAGTAGAGAGAAAGTTGCAGTAAGCTGCATCTTCAAGGGATAAAGAGACCTGTAGAGGGGGTGACGAATTGTGAATATTGATTTTGAAAAAAGTATACATTTTTTATTGATCCTTTATATATTATACTATCATATGGACAGAATGGAATGTACTTATATCTCTCGATGGTCATGAAACTAAAAGTACATATTAGTACGAAGAACATATATCATTAATGTCTAATGTATATAACGCATAGTTGTTATATAGAAAAAAGATTAAGGTAAAGTAATTATAATGTAGAATATATCCTAGGAAATAATGGTAAAAACAAGAGATTTCACGAAAAGCTGCGAAAGTCCTACGATCAGCGTGATTTGTCATTTAGTATTAGGTAATAGTTTTCGCCCCTCTTCCGATTGATCAAATCAAAACTCTATTCATGTATGTACAATCCTTTTTGCAATTATAATTTCATAACAATACATATAGCAAAAGATACTCAGCGATCTCGATTCGGTAATTAATATATCACTACTCTTGCACTCTTGTTGAATCAGTTGTCGACTTATATTTCTTACATTATCTTCCCTTTTTTTGTTCGCCTAAATGACAACGTTGTTGCAATTCGGCTCGTCGCTACGTCGACGTTTCAATCGGCATGGAATTACCCAATTGCATACATATATTTGTTCGTTAGGTCATACGAGGCGCTAAACGCGTCCTTCACATTCGGCTAATCAGCTCTACTTTAAGTTCTTAAATAAAAGCCCGTTAAACTAAGCAACAGACGTTCGGTACCGTAACAAATACGAAGTTTTTCAAGGTTTCGTAATTATTTCTGAAATTGAAAATACGCTGGAAGAAGCTAATTCTCTAACCGCTGAGAATAAATACAACAAGATGAATTATTATTCAATATTTCGCCAATTTGAAATAACGTTAGATACGATGTTAGAGATGATCGCGTCAGTACGTTTACAATGACAATAAGCCTTTATGGAGAGAATTCGTGTGATAGCGACGCGATAGAGATTCAGTCGATAGAAGCTTGCTCCTCTCTTACCCCCTTTAACGGATTCTTTTCTTTTTTTTAACGCATCGAGAATCTTTGGCACTGACATTCGCTACAAGTTTCCGTTCTATTGAACATACAGCAAGCAAAAACTAATATTCATGCACCATGACCTGTAAATACCACTATCTTTCTCTCTATCTAAAATCCTTCAAAAATATTTGACCCAGCAACTATATATATGTATCTCATACGTGAAAGAGAATCAAAAAGTAAGGTGTATTTGCTCGTAGAATGCAATCGAAATACTATTGACATTATCTTAGTAGCACAGTGCATTGACCAAATTGACATTGGTTAAACATTGGTTCAATATTTGGTTGTACTGGGCCAATGTTTAGCCAATGCACTGTGCTATTATGGTATCTAGACTACACATTGACGATAACAATAGCTAAATCTTGCGTGAATTTCTAAAAGTTTTAGAAAAGCGCCGCGTATGCGACTCCAATCGTGATTGAAAATTTTTGCAAAGCAGCGAAAGAAATGCTGTATAACGTCTTCTATACTTCGCAAAAGAATATTATGAGGACACTTTACTTTTTGACTCTTTCCGTACAATGCACAATTTATTTGTTGGTGTTATTATAATGTCTATTATTTAGCAATCAAGAGGTCTACTAATAGCGAAACTCGGCGGTGCGCGAATACTTTTCTCATCCACTGTATAACGTCTCTACGCGTAATATATTCTTTAAAAAAATAATCCCGCTTCTCCTTATCGAGATGGAAGTAAATCGAAGTTGTACGCATGAAAAATATATATATGTGTATAAAATAATAAACCTACAATCTCTTGTGAATGTGAATTATTTTCGGCCCTCCGCGTTTGTCGCAAATGTCCGAAAATAATTCACGCCCTCAAACTGGCAGTGTTCGGGAAACCTGTTTTGCACGCGCAATTATTAGACCCGTGTAAAGCAGGCATTGTAAAAATCTTGATAATACTAAAACCGATGCTAGTTACTGGCATGTCACATAAATCACGACCGTCGTCGGCCCGCAAACGCATTACGTTTAACATTCGCGACTTATTCACGATTGGCAAATAATTTATTTACCGAATATAGCTCGTATTACACAACGGTAATTTATTTGATCAAGTGGCCAGAAACTAACGGCAGTCGTTATTACTAGACGGTCAACTGAAAAGTTGTTCTCAGTATTGCATTGTTCCATAATGCTTTCACAAAACCGGCTTCTAGCAGTCGCTAAACTACGGAATATCGATTATGGAGTATCAATTACTTACCGTTGTAGACGCGGCAGTCTACACGAATGAATAATTAAGTCTATCTGAACGGAATCGAAGACCTGAGTGCAAAAACGAGTTCGTTTCTTCAACTATTTCCACACTTGCAGGGAAAGAGGGAAAATAGCTTTCCAAATTATTAATATCAGAGGTCTGCATACATCTTCTAAGTACTTTCTAATTGTAAGTATCTCAAGTAATGGTAAGTTAAATGTAGAGTCTGTGCAGAATCTTTCAGTTAGTTCCATATGTTCAGCGACAGGACAGCAAACAATTACTTTTTACGTGACTTTCTCGTTGTCACTAAGTTTGATCTACACGCAAATTACTAATACAAAGTCGTTGCAAGTATTCTCCTTCAATTATTAGTGTGAAAGCGAGCGCGTAGGAACGAGATGTCAGTTTAGAACTCTGGACAATCCTAGTTAAGAGAGACCTATAATTCATTTTTACACGAAGCGCTAGTACTCGGTGAAACTTGGAAATATCATTGACTTTTCCATAACATCTAAAAAAAAGTTTTCGCACTCTGGCACGGTGCTTGGTTCTTCACAACCAAGTAATTCAAGTCATTGCCTCTTCAAATCAGACCGTTCGAATACAATACCAACCATTCTCTGTTAAGCCATCAAGAAAGCAAAGTTGCAGCGATGAGTAAACGAAGGCGTTGACGTAATCGAGGATACGTATGATAAAAGAATTTAGCAAATGAAAGGTATCGTGAGGACTTAAGTCACCGTCTCGCGGGTTTAACACGCCTTGCCGGGTCCGGAAGCCCTTTGATCCTCCATCCGGCCAGCTTGAAGTCTTTGGATTAGAGCGAAGAGGTCTAATGTGTCCTCTTCGGGCACGGTGGAACCTGATTTAGTTTTTCCATTGGCTCTTCGGCCCCTCTCCTCTTCGTCGTCCTGCAATGTTGATGCACTTGGTAGAGGACTTCGTTGGTCCTCTAGACGCGAACTCTGAAAGCAGGCACATTATCCTTCGTATCAAGTGTCCTTTCCGTTGGATAGGAGAAGAAGTTCCAAACAATGTAAATATGAGTAATATGACAGTTTCCGTGCATTAAATTAAATCTAAACCTGGCATCTGACGAGCATTTCGATGAAGGAATCGTCCGAGTCCTGATTGGTATTCAGTCCCGGCAGATAGGGCAATGTTACTCGTTGCTCGTCCATCCGTTTGCTTTGCATGCCGGCGATTAATTCCAGCAAATCCTCGCCGTCCCTAAAAGCAACATCGTCAGATGTTAGATACAACTATAATGCATTATCATAGTAAGCCTGTGAATAACGTCTATTGAGAAGACATATTTCGCGTACTTGTCGTCCATATCTGTTACTTCCGGCGTGATTGTTCGGTATTTTGGATTGCGCTTCGTGTTGAGCGCGCAACGTTGATCGTCCATTCTGCCTGACTGAAACCGGGACAGCAGATCGAAGAAGTTCTCTTCCTCCTTTTGAGAAAGTTGCGACGCAACATTGTCGTCTTTGTCCAACACAATTTCCGACTTATCTTTCTGCTTTGCGTCGGGTGTGAGCTGAATGCAACGGTTGTCAATTAATTTAGTGTTAAACGATATATTCCTCATGAAACAATTTCAATTCTTTCCACATAACTTTTCGGTTCATTTATTATAATTTTATTTCAACTTTAAGTTTAATATAAATTATTAATTGCATTTCGGATGGAAAGAATGAATTAAGCGAAAATAAATTACAGCATGTTACACAGTATGTACAGCTCTTTCTTTCGCTGTGACTTCATTATTCTAGTCTCAGGGAAAGAAAAATAATGCAAACCTTAATAAGATCGAGATTGTCCATGCTCTGTCGTCTGAGCCTGTATCTACAGGGCATAGTTGTCGGAACATTCGACGTCGCGTTTGCAGTCAATTTCTGCGTGTTTAGATTCTCCTTGTTGCTCTCCTGCTGATTCTTTTCCAGACCGAGGATTTTCTGTAAATCATCAACGTTCATCTGCGCGGTAGCCTGGCCCATTTGATCTTCCAGCTCTTTCGAGATGTGTAAATGCAGATTCGCATAGTGCAATGCTTTCTGATGATTGCCCATCGCGGCGTACGCGTTGCCCAGCGACCAGCAGGCACGCCCTTCGCCCACGCGATCCTTCAGCTGCTGGGCTATATCCAAGTGCCACAAATGATACTCGATAGCCGCCGTGTAATCGCGTAGAAGAGTATACGTGTTTCCCAGAGAGTAGCATGCTTGCGCCTCCACCTCGCGGTCTCCCAACTCTTGTGCAAGAACTAAGGTTCTCCTAAAAATGGAACAATAATCAACTGCACAATGCAAAATGAGTTCATACCCGGCACAAATTACGGCATTCGAACATTTGTATAACTTATCCCAGGTAGCCAGTATGCTCAAGCAATGTATGGAAATAAAATGACAGCAACTGATGCTCTTCGCTAGGAATATGAATTCAATGTTTGAGTGATTTAAGTTACAGCCAGCATAATTTAACATATTGTCGTAGTTTAAGTTGCACAGCTGAAGAGAAAACGCATCAAATAGGCATACTGTTAACAAAGATTTAGCACACATTGTTCTGCAATTTTCAGCACAGATATAAACGTATTATATCTATTACATCAGCCATGTACTCAATGCTAGCCAGCAACAGCACAATAGACGACATAGCAAGATCCTAACATTTTTGTTAGCAATATGAAAGCAACTTGTGCTCACACTGGCTATCTGGGATTTTATTTGTTAATAACTTTTTAATAAATAACGAGCAGCAGCTAAAATCTTTTGCAAGCTAGTCAGAGCTGATTTACTTCTTCTTCCAAAATAAATTAAAATTAATCTTACTTGAGAAATTGACGAAAGAAATAATGACCTGAGTAATCGAGATATATTTGCCAAAATTAAATTAAATCTAGTTTACTAACTGAATATAATATACGTATACACACCGCAGCTATTGATAATTTTGTGTTTATCAAAAGCTAAAAAGGTTCGTCAAACTCTTGTGTAAGTCTATCAACCTAGAAGACGGTTTCGCTGAACGCGTATGTGTCTTCATTGTCCCCAAAGGGTTAAAGAGTTGGATTAAGATTGTACGTAAAGTTATAAAGATGCACGATTAATTTGCCAAAGTTATTACAATATTTACTTGTAATGTTGCGCTGCCTTCTCGAACTCGCCCAGAAATATATGCGAGTTTCCTAAATTGCTGTTGGCTCTCCTCTCGGCCGGCTTGTCGCCAAATTCTCTGGCGATTTTTAAACGTTCATTGTGGTAATAAATGGCCTGTTGGAAATCGCCCAACAAATAGAATGTATTGCCCAAGTTGCCGCATGCTCTGCCTTGAGCCGCAGAATCCTCCAGTTCCCTCATAAGCTCTAAATTTTCTCTATAGAGAAGCGAAAGATATTGGTAGTCTTATACAATATAAATGTTAAAGTTAATTATGGCCAAACAGGTACGGATTAATCAAGATCTTACTCATAATAGCGCACAGCCTGTTGCAAGCACTGTCGGACATCCTCAGAAAACTCTCCTGGATCCTGATGTCCTATTCTACCCGCTTGCTTGCCCTTAGCGTGATACACGTTTCCTAAATTATACAGGGCTCTTCCTTCGCTAAGCTGCACATAATCAATATTAATTTATAGATTTAAAAATGTCAACTAAATTGCACAATATTTAAGTAAAGCAGAGAGAAACATGGAACGGACACGCAATAAATTCGTAGAAAGTACAACCATATGTTTAAAAGGATATTCTCATCTTTTACTCTATGTTACTTTGGTACTTTACTTATTTTTCATTCTTATTTCTCAAAATATTCAACTTATTTCGATAAATGAGCTCCGAGTACCTTATCCCCGATCTCTCTGGAGATCTCTAGATGTCTCTTGCAGCATATCATGGCTTCGTCAAACTTGCCCATAACTTTCAGCGTGTTGCCCAGATTTCCGCTGGACTTGGCCTCGCCCAGTTTGTCACCCATATTCCTGGCGAGAGTCAGGTCCAGCTTGTGATACTGCATCGCTTTCACATAGTCACCCAGGTAGAAGTACGCGTTGCCCAGTTGGCTGTAGATCGCGCTCAATATCCGTAGATCGTCCGTGCCAGCCTGGATCGCCGCTTGGAAAAACGCCACCCCGGACTTGCAGTCGCCAGCCTTGCACAGGCGTTCGCCCTCCAGCGCCAGTTCCAGACACATGTTCCACCTCTCGCTGTTCTGTAAACGTTACGTACGTCATGTCGCATGGGATATCGACACCCACAGAAAATTTTCTGCGCACCACTGTGTTAATCGCGGGCTTTGTACAGCGTAAGGGTGCATTTGCAGAATTGAAATGTGTACACTAGAGTTAGAATAATTTCGCGCGGGCAATTACCTGCACAAAGTAATATCGAACGTACATTCGCTTTTCCAATTCGACAGTAAACAGTATAAGGTGCACATCTTTTAAATTGCGAATTACAAATCGTGCAAATGTTTGCGATACAGAGGAAAGTCCGTTATTATAGCATATGCTCCTAATATGAGATAGCGGAGTTTCTGAAAAATTAATAGGAATCATCTGTTGGTTCCACTATGAATGTCTTGCCATTGGAGTGAAATCTGTTTAGTGGAAAACTGATTGTTAGATCGTGTAATTGTAGCGAAAAGAGATTTGCGATTGAATTTGGACGTTGGGAGCCTACTATCTCATATTAGAATCCTACCGCACGATAGAGGACTTTTCTCTATTAATTGTATGAAAAAAATACAGCTAAGGAAATGGAATTTATTTCTACGAAGCTGCTCCATTCAACGAAGTGGCTCCACGAAGGAACAGCAAAGCTAAGCGAAGAGTTGAAGATGGTTAGGCTCGATACTGAATTAATTATTGCACACAAAAGGAATCAATAGCGTGCCTTTCATTATGCAATATCGATGTAAAACATTAAAAGCCACATTTACTACACTTGAACAAATTAGACCATGCTCGACAAAGATGTAACGAAATTTGCTCCGAAACATAAAAACTTATACAAAGTGGAGTATTTTTCACGTAATGCGAGCCCGGTGCGAAGCACAAGTTATACCATGGTAAAGTCGGAGTAAACGGTCGCACGAAACGAGATTGTGGTATGAAAGAAACAGGTGTGGCAGCGATGAGCATGAGTCACACGTGGAAAGCCCAGCGTCGCTAATTGGACGTTGATTCACTCACTTGTCCCTCGGACGACAGATTCTCCGCGCTGGCACTTAGAGACATCCTGGCACGTTCGCGACACCACCTCCTCGCGGAATGAGACGCGACTCGTTCAAACACCGTTAAAACGAGACGGCCGTACGTTGCTATCGGTTCGCGAAATAATTGTAATTATTCCTCGTAGCATGATACTCGGGGGCTCCGATTGCGGGAATCAGCTCATAGTCGCGCCATCCACCGAGCATAGCCCTCCGGGGTCCTCTTACTCCGGAGCGAAGAGCCACTCCAACATGAAGCGATTCGACAGCGCGTCCAAACAAATGGCGCCGTCGGTATCAGTGAACCCAGATCCAGAGATCATGGAATTTCTCGACGCATGCGTGATGGTGCCGATGGGGAAACGTATGCCCCACCATTTTTGCACCCATGCATACTATTGTGTAGTTTTAGGTGCGATTTAACTTGTAGACCCTCTATATTAAAATGGTGAGCTGAACACTTTGTAAACAAATTTTTTTAGAAATAATAAAGAGAGCCGTACAAGTGGCTTATTATAAATAAAGAAGTATTTATACATATATATAATTATATATTATAAAGAAGTATTTATGTACGTGGTAGACTAATAATATTGAAAATATGTGATAACAAATAATATAGAACAATAATTATATTAATAATATAAATTACATAAAATAATATATAGTGTTAATATAAGTAAAGCAAAATAGAAAGTATAATAAAGTAAATAAAATAAAACTGACAATGTAGAAGACAGGGGTGTAAATACAGATGTGAAAAAGATACAAATATGATTAACATATCATATTCACAACGTGGTTGAAAAATTGTTCAAAATTGAAAATTTGGTGACTGCAATCTTACTCGTTCAAGAGACCACTGCAAACTAACACCTGATAAACTGATCTCACAAGAGGTACAAAATGTTAAGTCTACTAAACAACTTTGTATTGTGAATATTGAATTTCTATAGTCCACAATAGCGTAACTGATGTGCGAGGTTTCGGTGTCTTTTCTTGTCAGCTAAAGTTACTAGGTTCTTTCGATAGAATTTTTGATACGGCATACGTTAGTGCCAACTTATTCAACATTTAGATTCAGAGTATGCCTTGTATGTATGTCGTAGCCCGATAGCGAAATTAGCCATTTAGCTAAAAGCCTTGGCGTTTAGCTAAATGCCGCCCGTTAGGCTAATCGACGACGATATAGTCCAATGGCTTGAAAAATTCAGCCTCTTAGACGACATGGACAAGTCGGCTTTTCGCCTAACGGCCTGGCGCGCTTTAGGCGATTAGAGAAATGCTTGTTTTGAGGCTCGATGCGTTGTCAATTTATTTACTAATAATAATAAATCTTTATTTACGGGATAAACCTTTAGTATACAGAGGAGAAACATAAATATATTAGAAAATGCGGTTGCAATAGATAAGAATAAATATAATATAATGTATAAATAAATAGAATAAAATCGCATAGGCATAATTATCTTATAAAGTATAACTCATTTAAATAAAATAAAATTAATTTATATTATATGTAAAGTATTAAAACATAACGAGATTAAGTGATTAAAATAAATAAATAATAAATAAATAATAAATAAATAAATAATAAATAAATAAATAAATACTAAGATAAGATTAATAAAATAAAATTGTACTACACTTTACTACCCGTTACATACTTTACTACACAATTATTACTACATTACTATTTGTTAATACAGGATAACATAGTCAATTCATGCCTGAGGTCAATTTATTTATTGTTACACTTTCTATTTGTTAATGCAAGACGAGCTACTGTGACAACGAGAACTGCAAAGGATTTTTGCTTTATAACAAGCACATCTATTTGTCTGACACTGATTTTTAGCTGATTTTGCAATTGCATTTTTTGTATCCCTGTCCACCACTTGCAGATTGCTTCCCAGCAGCTTCCCTCAAAGTAAGAAGAACATTTTTGGGAATGTCAGCCATGGTAATAAGATTAGTGCCCGATTTTGCAATTTCAGTACGGGGGAACCACCCTTTCAATATCCCATCCTTGGTTCCAATTTGATATACGTCATTTTTTTTATCAGTTACAACGCCAAATATGTTATTAAAATCTAGAGGCCCACGGTCTACAGTGGGAACAGATAATGTAATGGTGTCGTTGATCTGAAAGGGTGGAAAAGTGATACTCAAAAAGGTAACCATTTTTTCGGCCTCTGCCTTTTGACGCTCGAAGCAATTTGACCGAGTGTCAAGTAGTTGTTCGCCCCTAGCGCACAATGAACAGATAACAGCCTGTCCGCGGTCGCTATTGGTCACTATGCATTTCCATTTTGCACTTTGTGCAAAGAATACTGCTCGAGACGTCTATCTTTCGCTTCTTCTGTGTTCCCTCTCCCTCCTCTTCTTCATCCTCTCGCACCCTCTTCCTCTTGCCTACGCCTTCGCACTGCTCAACACTAAAGTTCAAATCACTATATGAGTTCTATTATATTATATTTATCTAGTTCTATTATATTTATTTTAAGTCAATTACCTCGCGTTCAATTGTACATTCTGCTCCTCGAGAGCCTGCTCCAAGTCTTCCTCTGTCTTAAGTGAATTTAAAATTT